GAGCTGAGGCTATCAACACTCGACACTTGGGAACCCGGTCTAATGACAATGTAGTCTGGGAGTCAATTGTTATCTATTTGAGCCTGTGGCTCTGTATCTGAGCCGTCGTTTACTAGGCTCAGACCATCAACGCACTACAACTCGAGAGCCCAATGTTACCACAACACGTTCTACTTGAGTTGACGAGTCCTCTGTGTGAACCTATGGGTCTCTGGTTTGAGCTATTTGGTGACCAGGCTGATACCATCAAACTCGCCGCACACTGCTGTGGGTCGAAACGTGTATTCGAACCCAGAAATCTCGGCGCTACCTGCTCAGTGCTCTGACCTCTGAGCCACCCAGACATCTCATAGCGCGCTGTTTTTTTTTCTTGTCGGCGTGCGAGCGAGCGAGCGAAAATGCTTTGGCCGGCGAGCGGCCTGACACTCATTGAAATGCAAAGTGCGCCGTTCAGTTAATTATTGTCTGATGGGACACGGAGACACGGTCGGTAAATCAGGGCCCCGCGGACACGGAACGAGTCTCCCGACGTTTGAGAGAGTCTCGGGGAAAAAAAAAAATCGCAACTCTGGCCCCGGCGCCGACGCAATTTATGTTGGTGCACAGGTGCAGGCGCTCTCCGACGTTGTCACCTCCACAGAATGATGCCACTCCTCGTGACAGAACGAGCATCGCGCCGGTGATGGGTTGGTTAAAAACAAGAGGGGTATCGGGGGGAGTGGCTGTTCCTTTGGCATGCGCTCATCGCTCTCAGCTGCGTCTGTTTTGACTCGCAAGCGTCTTCATTTAATATTCCATTATTTACGCCATGATTCCAGTCAATAAAAGCGCCATTACGGGAGCATTAGGATGCTGCTCAATTTGAAGATAAATCATTTGTTGGGATATTAAGTATTAATGACATAGAAACAAAGACATTAACAGCCGCTGTCCCAGCTGATCACGACGGTTCACAATGTTGGTTTGTGTTCTTTAAATTCTACCCAGAGGTGGAAGGGGAGCGGGCCTTCGGTTTTGTGTGTCTGTGTGTGTGACAAGTTTCCCAGTCCCTGTGACGGCGTTGTGTCCCCGGGCAGAGGAAATGTTGTTAGGAGGGCGCCATCTGCTGGTCGCACAATGTAATAGCAACAGCTGACACGACCCAGTCCTGCACCGCGAATGCAGAATCAGAATATGTACGTATTCATACTGGAGGAATCCAATGAGCTATAAAAAAAAAATGTTTTCACAGATGTCCAGTCGGGGCGGGTCAGAAGGTTACAACAGACAATACGAAAAAAACATCGCAGTGCAAAGTATAGGGAAGGAAAACAAATTATTTTAAAAATGTGCAAATAAAACTGAACTTTTTTTTTAATCTTACCAGCGCATCTGTAAACGTCTTATCCAGTATTCAGAGTTTACGTTAGACGGCAGTTTTGTTTAAAACAATGTTTTACTACGTAGTCTTTTGATGCTTAAGTTTGTTAAAGCGCCAAGCTTGAATGAGCTTCAACAAAACAGAAAATTCAACACATGTGCCAATAGCAGTGTAGCCTTAAAAGGAAGAGTATATAATAGGCAACGTTTCAGGTAATGTGCCTTCTTCATAACACATAGAAGGGCCAATGCCCGAAACGTCGCCTGTTTCCTTTCACGGCAGTGTTATCCCCACGGTGGAGAGATGTTAACTACCTCGCATGATATACAGGAGGTCGTAGGTTCGATCTCTACCCTGACCTGCTGTATATTTGGAGTTTTCATTTTTCCTCTCGATCGTGTGGATTTTCTCCGGATCCTCCGTTTTTTTTCCCTCCGCATTTATTAAGATACGTTTAGAATATTTGGTTACTATACAATTTCCACGTGATAAGCCACTCCGTTGAGCTATCATTTGTGGCCAGGTCGTTTCAGGAAAAAAGAGCTATATAGCTCAGTAGGCCTTACCTGGTAAAATAAAAAGTTTAGTTTATTGACGAATCTGTGTACCAAGGACGTAATTATAATAACAATATATTGTGACGATGTGTGACGAGGGGGGGTTGAGAAATGTGACGTCACATTAAAATGCGCAACTTTAAATAAATATAGACAACACGTTCTACTTAATTAAATAGACGTTTTAATAACTGTTTTCTCCGACATCAGAGTGCAGCGCCACATTAAATACGCACTACAATGACAATGGTCTAAAGCGATTTGAAGCATGTTTTATTTTCAAAATGGAAATATAGTTTGGGGGGGGGGGCAGAGCTTTGTGACGTCAAATTTGAGGGGGGGGGTCTGACTTTGTGACGCCGTGTAACGAGGGGGGGTGTGAAAAATCGTCCAAAATCGCGTGACGTCATTTATGGACGGCCCCTTTGTAGTGTAACAGGCCCAGATGAAACTGCAACATGAATGATTTAATAACGGGTGTTACCTTTATGGACACCATGTATAATACCATACACGAACGGCTGCTACGATCGGTCTGCATCGTAACACTCCCTCTGTGGTACGGCAAGGGCGGTAACATTGACAGGGTGGACTGAGTTCAGAGAGGCGATCGAGAACACGTGGAATTGAACATCTCACCCGAACACTAAGGTGTGTGTGTGCGCATGTGACACCGACAAGACGGAATGAAATGTTCCCCACGATTTATTTGTAAATTGCAAAAAACACTAACGAGAGATGAAAAAAACCAGCACAATAAAACGCCATAACCTGGAAAAGCACCATCAAGGCCTCAGTCACACCCCTAAATCAACAATAATTAGACGTGCTGCCGTTGCAGGCTTCAAAGTTATTATTGATAAGAGAATACACATTATATGACCACAGCCGATCCAATGCTATAATGGCAATCCCCATAAATTCTCGCAAAAAAATATATTACCACTTCAATGCAACTCGTGTGTCAACAAAACCTGGTACAGACCAACTCCTCTTTATTTATTTTACCTTTATTTAACCAAGTAAAAAACCCCTTGAGGTTAAAAACGTCTTTTGCGAGGGGGGCCTGGCAAGAAGTCAGCAAAAAGAAATCACAACACGTAGACAAAGATCCCCCATATAGCCTTAGCAGACTGTAGGGGCAAGTGCTGTTAGCGAGCACCTATGAAGGCCGGCACGGCACACGAAGGGGTGGGTGGCCCCACGCCCGACCGCCTTTGTCTCCCCCAGTGGCGATGTTTACACACTGCAACCAGGTACTCATTTGAGGCTGAGTCGACCTAGGGGAGGCCCAGGACCGGTTCAGATAATCGTCACCAGTGTTGGCCTTGAGCGGGAATCGAACTCGGGTCGCCAGGTTCATAGCGCTAACCGCTCCACTATCGCTCCCACATACACACCCACATACACCCACACAATACGCGTACATGTGGCAGACGAACACTGTGGACAGGCGGGGACAGGCGGGGACAGGCGGGGACAGGCAGCGACGCGGTGAGCCAGTGCCAAGTTCAAGCTCTGCGGTCCTCTTAAATATGACGGAGTTATCAGCCAACCAATACGTCTTTTGTGGGAGGAAACCGGAGCACCTCGAAATAACCCACGCGTGCGAGGTGGAAAAACACCATCCCATACGAATGGAACACATGGGGTCCACTTGCATCATACCGTCTTCTCCTGGCGAGTCAGGGTTATGGCACCTTCCCATGGGAAAGAGAGTTGTCAAACATGTTGTGATAAACCAACGAGCTCGCCTCCAGTGCTGGGGAACAGGCGGCTCGTAGCCACCACCGCCCAGCTAGTAACATAAAAAAAATGTACTACATTCATACAGCGCAACTTGGAATTTATTTATCATCAAGCCAGGGCAGAGTGGTGGCACAGCGGTTATGGCATGAACCCGGAAAGTTCGTGTCCTGGTCTCTGCCCACGTCAATATATAGTACTTTAACAGGTCCTCGCAAAAACCCTCCGATCTCACCTCGCGTATATAAACCCACACTGATCAGCATGGTGAAGTATGGTCAAACAACCCTTTGGGATGGTGTTCTTGCAGCAGTAAAACAAAGGGCTGTTATCAGTTATCAAAATTAAATGTTCCCTGTAATTGGAATGTGGTGTGTATTAGGGTTCAACTGATAGTACATTATATTATTATAAGTAGCCTATACTGCTAAAAGTGCTTTAAAAGTGGAACTACTAAAAGTAATTTGACATCAAAGCAACGTAAAGACATTACAACTAAAACGTGTTTTAACCTATGGCAATCCATTGGGCATCAAACCGAGAACATTCATCAGCCAATCTCACCAATATATACTCTAAATGCAGTGCAAAACAATGTCATATTGAACGTTGAAGCCGTATAGGAAGTTGTGGATCAGTACACTTTATACATTACTCAAATATTTTAACACAGCAGCATCAGCAAGTAAATGTCGGCTTAAATTTCTGCATAGTTGGCAAAGTTTCGTTTGTACAGTAGATTGCGTCACTATTGCCCCAAAAGTTCACAGTTAAAATTATACACATAAAACAAAGGCGCTTTAAGTGAGTGTGTGTGCATACCAAACTTTGAACCTAAGCACACACTTAATATATACACACACTTGTGTGGTGAATTGTTAACGCCTCATCTTTATAAAACAAATGGACTGGTCTTGAGCATGCACTGTCTCTACAATAAAATACCTCTCCCCCGCAAGCAGGGGCGGAGCCACAGGGGGGCTGGGGGGGGGGCGGAGCCACAGGGGGGGGGGGCTGGGGGGGGGGGTCGGCCCCCCCTGATATTTTGGGAAAGTCGGTAATCGGGATAACCGGATATCTGGCTGCTGCAAAATGCTGCAGGCTGCCACCTTGTGCTGCCCTGCAGGCTGTCACCTTGTGCTGCCCTGCAGGCTGCCACCTTGTGCTACCCTGCAGGCTGCTTGAGCGGCAGCCTTTCGAACTTATCGAACTTATTAGCCACATCAGCGGCTCCGACCTATTAATAAACTCCGCGTTCAAATCCAATAAAATTAGTTTTATACATTTGTGGCGCCCATTGGAAAACATTACACTGGATATCTCAGAATATTGAAGTTAGCCCCCCCCCCCCCCCCGCCTCCCGAAGTCAAAACCCTGGCTCCGCCCCTGCCTGCAAGAGAACAACGGTTACAATCGAGGGCGTCATTTCGTTCTGTTTGCTGTACAACAAAGCCCACTAACAATTTCACGCGTAGGGGTTTTATAGCCTCTCGTGAATCGAGATGTGGTCTTCCGGGGTTGGGGGCCACGTGTTGATCGATTCGTCTCTGGAATTGAACTCCGTGAAAAAAACGTGACCGCAGTTAGCTTGAGAGAAGACATTCTCAATGCGTGGCCCGACTCGGAATGCCCACGGCTTTGTAATCCATTAATCGCGGAAACATCACCGCCTGCGATGGCTCGCACAATAATTCAGCTGCGATAATTCACTGGAAAGGGCTGAAGTTCCTTAACTCCATCCGTGGTCGTTGACCGGTTGCGGGCATTAACAGATAAAAAAAATGAAAACTACGACAACTCGACGCAAGCTCGTTTTTTCCGAATCCGTATCAATATAATTTTGAAGAGAACAGCGCAATGCGGTACATAATTTCCCCTGTAGTGCAAACACCAAGCGAGTTTCTGAGATGTGATTAGTTGCACCCGTATGAAATACGCACTTGGTAAAAAACACTTACACGAAAGACCGGGGCTATAAAAACGGGGGACTGCTCGGGAAGCGACACGAAACGAACGAATGGGTGTTGATAACACTCCAGAGTGAAGAGGGAAATGTCACCAATGATAAAGACACAAACTATCATTTCATGACAACATCCACAAAACATGGAGGTTGTCTAATCAAGGCCATAAGGATGCATACCTGGTCAGAGATCGCAAGGCAGACAACGGACAGATGACATTAGCTAACAGACGGAGATGCAGATTAAACGAGGCAGCGAGACCAACGACGGCACAGAGAGAAGCGGAGGTAAGTGCTACACAGTCCGCTAGACCTCTTGGGCAGAGGGCGGCGACGCTTGCGATGGACCCCAGTGCAAACGCCACCACGGGTCACAGAAGGACAAAGTCCTCGGAGGAGCCGTGCTTGACGAAATTCCCGCTCTTGGGCGAAATGTGGAGCAGTCTGACGCGCCGCTCCGGGCGTGGCTCATCCTCCACGTAGTCGCTGCTGTGCCCCTCGACGAAGCTGAACACCGGGTAGCTCTCCTGCTGCGGCGTCCTGCCGGAATGCGCGCCGCACGTTTGCGACGGCGTTGCGAGCACCTTCACGGGATTTCATCAAGCAAGATCAGAACAACAGAGCGTCAACTTCACATGGGACGCTTAGTCTATTCATAGATTACACATTGCAATGGACTTATTTGTTATGGTCCATTGCTTTTTTTTGTTTTTAAACAATGGCGACGGCCCCTACACTTTCTCACGCAAAGGTGCGAAAATCTCCAACCGGCTGAAAATGGGGAGCATATAGGTTTGAGCATAGTACAATACAACAATAGATTAGACTATCATTGCCCTCTGCTGACGACATTATACATTTTATTTGTGAGCGCTTTTCTGAATACTCAAAGACACTTTACATAAAATCATAAAAGCAGCAAAAACATCATCAAATGGTAAAAACACTAAAAACACATCAAACTTAGCTAAACATTAAAAGCAATTTTAAAAAGGTGACATTACCCTGCAGCAGCAGCAGCCTACAATAACCTGTTTTATGCAAGGTTGGTCAACCATCATAGCAATGTCCAGACTCAAGTCCGCTTAACTTCCGAGGTCTGATAAGATCAGGTGCATTCCAAGTCATTTAGTAAATGGCCACATCAGGAATATTGTAAGACTAAGAAACAGTTGTTACATGTTACCCGAGTTGGTCGAGATTGCCAGCTCTGAATTCACCTGCGTCACAGTGGAACAGAATGCAGTGAAGTCTTCTTTGGTCCGACAGTAAAATCCCAGAGTGCAGCTTGGGTCCATTTTGGTGAATGCTGTTTTTCGCGGTGGACAGCAGTGATATGACTGACAAGGGAAATAATCAAAACATGTAAATGTTAATATGAACATCTATTTAAAACTAAACTTTTTATTTTACCAGGTAAGGCCCACTGAGCTCTATAGCTCTTTTTCAGAAACGACCTGTCCACAAATGATAGCTCAAATGATAGCTTATCACGTGGACATTTATAGCAGCGAAATACTCTAAAATACATGTTTATAAATGTGGAGGGAAAAACCGGAGGACCCGGAGAAGAATCCACGTGACCACAGGGAGAACACGCAAACTCCAATATACAGCAGCAGGTGTCAGTGGTCGGGATCGAACCCACGACCTTCTGTATACCAGGTGAGGTAGTTAACATCTTGCCACCGTGGCACCCCATCTGGGGTGGAACAGTGGTGCAGTGGTTCAGATAATGCACAATGAGCCCAGAAAAATCCAAGTTCGATTCGCGGCTGCGGCTTAATAGCATGCAGCTTAAAAGTACGTAGACCAGAGGACGCCAAAAGGCGTCACGCCTTCTGGCGTCCGCTGGTCTAACACCTTTTGAGACGAGGCTCCAAAAAAGCTGTCTCTGGTGTGGGCCACTCAATTTCAAAGACAATGCCATATATTATCAGAGTATGTTTGTTGTTCGAATTCTGACCATAAGTTTTGTGGTTAATGCAGGCATGATTCCTTGTAAAAGGTTTCAGTTTGGTGTTTTAACATCTTAACACCTGTTTTGTTGCTAGAAAAAAGGGGAAAACCTATTCTCATATTTTGGTACTGGCAAAAGGAGGTCCCATGAAGGATGTAGACATTTTTTTTGCATCGTACGTAGACAACCATGCCGATGTCAGTGGTTGTGATATCTGAAACGACCTTGGGACAGCAGCCCAAACCAGAGTGGTGAAGTATGGTCAAACAACCCACCCTGACCGACACTGTGGACTGAATGTTGTAAATTATTCTCATGTGGCTAAACATTTGCTAAAAACAATACACTGGTGTGAAGTTTTGCAAAAACATTTTTATAGAAATAGACTAAAATATAAAAAAAAATGTCATACATCAACTGGAAAATCTGGCTGGGTGAAGTCCACCATTGGCTGGCAATAATGTGGATCCAAGTAAATGAGGTCATCATCTGTGGAAACATAAAAAAAAGTTAATGAAGACTTAAAATACAATTAAATCAGCCATTTACTAAACACGTGTAGAGATCAAGCTTGTCATATAAACTTTGCGCACATTTCTTTACGATATTATTGCACTTGTTTACCAAGAGAGGCGTCGCCGAGTCTCATGACTCTCTTTCAGGAGGCTCCTGCCAAGTTTTTGCGCAGTGGCGGGTGACGTTTGCTATGTATAGTAATTTGCGGGCAATTGTCAAAATTTGGAAAATGTGGGCCATGACGCCGGCACACAATGGCCTATTCTTCCGAAATTACGTCACGGGGATCTTGAACATCCACCAGTGTTAAGCCGCCGACGGCGTCCCCGCCAAAATAAATATCGCAGCCGTGACCAATAAACTAACATTTTGACACTTGGGGTGAGCGGCCCGCAATCGGAATGTTGGAGGTTCAAATCATGGCTGGGGTTTTTTGACTCAATTTATCATGCCTCCGGAGAATTCAACAGTGGTTGGATCCTTGTGGAATCTTTGCCACTAGTTCAGGGCTGTAAACAGGAGCACTGCCTCTATACTAAATTCAACAGGAAATCAATAACTTTTTTTTTACAATATAAAAAAGAACCAATACTTCAATCAAACCATCACTTTGAGTCATGCCAATCCATCAAATAGCAAGGGGCCGAATCATTACGAGGTGGTGTTATACGGCATTAACCTTGGTAGCCAACAAAGTAGAGGGAATGCTTTGGTTTGCCTCCGATGATTCCAATGCAGCTGTCCATCTCCAGCATGCCCTGCCAAAAGTACAGCGTGAGAATAATTCACAGCTCATTCATAGCAATCGTTAAAACAGTTGTTCATAATTTTGCACCTATATCGTATTCGTACATTTTCCTAAAACACCGAGTGTTAAACGCTTTTCATCCATCGGATAATTTCCGCTGCCATTGTCCCAAGTCTCAGATCCGTGGGGTCCCACCCAGCGACAGAGCACCTGAGGAATCAAAGTCACGTGTTCACGTTCAGCCTTCAGTGGGCCAGAAGTTTGTACTGGCTTTTGTTTTTTACGTTTCACAATAAAATCAGGAGTTAGATGCCACTGTCGAGGTTTGCTAACCACGACAGAACTTCTTTTGTACCGTACGTATCGGAGGTGCGAAAGACTTCAGGGGAGAGTTCATGTCGCATTTTCTATTCCTCCATTGCAGGAACGTAGACCTACAGTGGTTTACTACAAGGTCCATAGGTTTGGTTGCAAGGCCACAGTCATGCTGTGGCCTTGCCTTTAATTTTCCATTCATGAAGGAGATGGTGCGCAGCAGCCTGTTTATGATCCAATGTGGTTGACGGTCACACCGGTGTCTTCGGGGAATGGCTTGCCGACTTAAAGGAAGATGTTACGGTTGTACCGTGAATTGAAGGCAAAAGCTCAGCAAGATCGGGCCTCACCTTCACACACGCGATGTACACCGGGTTGAAGTGTTCTCCGCCGAGCCGCACAGGGATGAGGATGAACACGGACCTCCAACCGCTGTCTTGCTCCGAGTTGCCGGCCGGGCTGGGATTTCCCCCCACGACTAGTTCACTGTCCCATTCGGGCCCCTTCGGGTGGGTGGCATGGCTCTGGCCGGCTGCTACGTCGCTGGCTTCCGCCCGACACAGGTCCATAATATCGCCCTTGTACACTGAAACAGTAACAGCTAAATTCTCAACGCGGCAAACTCGAGTAAGCAAGGTGTAATACACTGTTAATACTGTGTGCGTGTGTGTGTATATTAAGCCCTTTGTTAGAGCACTGCTTGATGAAGGCCTCTCCACACCACGTCATTCAAAGGAGTTGTTTAACCATACTTCACCACGCTGGTGAATACGAGTTTAAAAGGGGGAGGGGGGGGAGGCAAGGAACTGGATTCTGAATTCACTCGCCACTGATGTTAGTGCGGCTCGGAATCGAACTCAAGTCAGCCGGGTTGGCAGCGCTTGAACCATTGTGGCACCACTTCACCCATTGTACCGTTTACTTTGCCTCGTAAAGACGTCACAAGATCGTGTTCCTGAATGACTTCCAGGCTTCGTTAACACAAAAAAAAGACTTGAAATGTAATAAATTATTAAAGCTTTCGTGGCTGTATAAAATTACTGATTGGTTTTTTCGGTAAAGTCACGTTTATAGAATGTGCTTCACATAATGTTTTTTCAGGTTTGTTGAATTCTCGTCTCTCATCTTTTTGTTGTATTTACCTCCGTGATTTGTTCTTGACACCTGATGAAGATCGCTTGCGTTGTGATCGAAACGTCGTGATTGTTTTTTGTTTTAATATAATTTTATTGTATTTCTACAAACGTGACTTTACCGAAAAATACCAATGAGTACTTGTAATGTACTTTCAGGCATGCAATTATACTGCAATAATACCACTGCAATGATGACATCACTCTAATGATCACTGCAGTGAAGTTATTAGAGTCCTATGGCAGTCTCACTCCACAGTAACACTGCTTGTGCTGCACAGACTGATTGACAAAGCTTCAATTTTCTTTCAAACAGCCCAGGGTGGCACACCTTAGCTAATATATGTACGGGGAGCAATTTGCACTTGTGCAACGTGTATTTCTCTATTAAACAGCTGGGCAAGTGATTAGTGACATAGTGTGTGAGAGGCCCACCTGTGCAGTCCTGCGCCACGTACATTACTGTATTGTGCAGAAGTTTAGCTTCAACTTCTGCAATAGCCTTTCTGCAAAAGATAGTAAAGTAATCAGATACATTTAAATTTTGATTTAAAGCTTTCGTGACTGCAGTAATTCATATTCTTAGTTTTTTCGGTAAAGTCACGTTGAAGGGAAACAACAAAATAATAAAATATATATAAAACAATAAAAAAATTCTCACGAGGTTTCGACCATAACTCAAACGGTCGTCTTCAGTTATGGTCGAAACGTCGTGAGAATTTTTTATTGTTTTATATATATTTTATTATTTTGTTGTTTCCCTTCAACGTGACTTTACCGAAAAAACTAAGAATATAATCAGATACATGTGAACCTTATAGCGGGACTCCAGGCTCCCGAATAAACGGAAGTCAAAATCGTAATTAATTTAGTTTTGGCGACTCCGTCCCACCGCGCACATAAACGCCGCGACCCACCAAGCACCCGTCGTTGCCAAAATTGCCGTAGTTATAAACAAAACTTTTAAACTTTGATTAGCGCATCGTGTAGAGCTCGTCGAGAGGAATAGATTGCCGCATCGTTCGCCTTCAACAGACGTAAAATTACGTCGCAACGCAGCTCATGCGAGAGCCGGGGGCTTATGGGACCCCGGGGTCACGCCATAAGGTTCGTTGTAATCATTACAAAACGGATTCATGAAATGACAAATTAACAAAAAACAAAGTCTGTGTATATATCGGATGAAGAAAAACATCAGTTCACAGTGTGTGGAGTGGTAGTGTAGCGGTTAGGGTGCCATGCTACGAATCCGACGACCTGAGTTCGATTCCAACGCATGGCCAACACCAGTGGCAATTATCTGAACCGGTCTTGGACCTCTCCTAGGTCGATTCAGCCTCAAATGAGTACCTAGTGCGGTGTGTAAGCAACGCTACTGGGGAGACAAAAGTGGCCACGGGTGGTGCTGGCTACCCAGCACATTGTGTCCGGTTCCGGCTTTCGTAGATGCTCGCTAACTGCACTTGCCCCTCAAGTCCGTTAAAGGCTATGCGGGGGATCTTTGTTGTTGTTTGGTGCTGGGAAGTGTGAGTTCTGTGGTATCTCACTTGAGGATGTGGGCCGTGATGGCCGGTCCATACCAGTCGCCCGCTCGCTTGCTCGAACTCCTGCTGAGACGCACGAGGTTGTGGATGCCGAACGGAGCGTCTGGCGTGTCTGCAAACCAGCGGATGATATTCCGGTGGACAGCAACCTCTGCCAAGATGGCCTGGTTGGTGATCACAGAGGGCAATAGTAAAAAAAAACTGAAAAAAGATCCCACGTGCAACCTACGTGTGACTGTTGGGGCACGTGTTGCTGTGACAGCACTGCGCACAAGGAATGTGGTGCGGTCGGCACCACGCTCAACCGCCTTTGTCTACCGAGTGCTTCCGTTTACACACCGCAGCAGGTGCTCAGGTAAGGTTGAGTCATTCTAGGAAGATGCCCGGAGTAGTTCGGATATCATTCGCCACCCTTGACAGACGTGGCAGAGAAACGAATTCGGGTAGTCAGGTTCAAGGGGGCTGTGCACCGACCACTACATCACTGTTATTCAGTCTCACAGAGTTCAATACTACATACTTATTGTCCATGTTATTTAGTTTTCAGAAGTGGATGGAACAAGTTAAGCCATAAATTGTGCTTTATGATGGATTGTAAGTGCAGCAACTTGTGACAGGACAGAGAACATCAACTCACTGTTTTGGAAAAAATTGCAAAAACCTAGAATGGACACGAATCATTGAAAACCTAGGCCCTTAATGGCACAGTACTGGACGTGGAAACAGCCCCCTAAATCACCATACAATTTGTCCATTGTGCACGCACCTCTTGGTCATCGGACGAAAGGAGAACACTCGCAGGCTGTGCGTAGACATGACTGCCCGCATGCTCCACTCCCACCACCAGGAAGTCAGAATCTCCTGGAGGAGACTGCATCTTTTTCTGCGACTCGTTCTCCGACTCCAAGAGATGTATGGCCTCGCTGCACTGCCAGTCTGAAAACACAGGTGCAATATCCAGCTCCCTGAAAAAATGATCGCCGTAATTTTCCTACTCGTCATCAACATTCACCTGTTTTCCCGTCGTGGCTTCACATTTTCGTTATCCGTTTTGTCATTTTAAAGACATTCCTGTTGCACACTGCACTGGCTATTGCTCATTTAAGATCAAGCCGACGCTGGGGAGGCCCAGGACCAGTTCAGATAATCATCGCCGATGTTGGCCGTGAGCATGAATTGAACTCGGCGCAATGCGCTAACCACAACACATCGGCAACACGCGGAGACAAACGTGACATCTAAAAGGTGCACCTCGGCCAAGCAGGTGCTGCATGAGCCCCTGCGCCAACAGCATCTGCCCGCTGCGCAGCATGCACCCCCAGCCCGTGTCCGTGGTCAGGCTGGAGCCCTCCAGCTGGGCGAACTCTCGCCGGTACGTGATCCAGACGCGTGTCGCAAAGTCCCGGCGGAACGCTGTGAAGTCGGCGCAAGCCGCGGGGGGCGTCGTCCCACCGCGTCTCTCGCCACCGCCATCGACGTTCCAACTCGGTGTCACCGAGACCTGCTCCGGCTGCGCACCGCCCCCCGGCTTCCTGGTGCCATCTGCGACAGTTCGGATACCCGTGCGCCCGATTGTTGTTCACTTTAGGGCATGTAAATCATTCACTCGGCACCAGAGCGGACAGGAATGACATGGGAAGAAAAAAAAACACTAGCAATAAATGTGATATGATGATCGTCAATAGTGGAGGACTTCCTGCTTTAAGTTTGTGGGCCCAGCGGCCTCCATGAAAGATGGCTGGGTGGTGAAGAGAGAAATTATTCACTGTATTGTAAGCTGGGCATCTCCAATGAATTACTGATTCCTACATATCTGTCCGCTTCGTATGTATGTTTGTATGTTGAACTTCTTTTGCACCGTACGTAGCCAAACATACTAATCGGAGGTACGGGGGAAGAGAGAGGCTAGAAATTACTGTCACCTGTCCCACTATGATAGAAAAGACTGCCAATCTTCTTAGGTACGGAGTTCTCACCATGGGGGAGGCCTTCATCCAGTAATGGATTGACCATGGCTGATGATGAACGATTCACCTAATTAAAATAACTGTTACAATTCGGCATCACAGGATTCAAGAATCGATTATTGTTTCGTGTGCCAAATCTCGATTGTATCGTCTGTGTGTACTCTCCCGGTTGTACTGTACGTCCAGGCATACTCCGGTTTACGCCCAGGATATGTTCCTAAAAACCAGAACGGAAATCAGAAATTACTTAAATTTAAGCATTTTCGGTGGATCGTAAGGTGCTGTAAGGTGATACAGTACCTAAAACAGAGGATGCTCAGTAACTCATTGCGCATTTATACCGTTTGACCATCGGTGTAATGAGTGTATATTATTGATGCTTTAAGATACATTACCTTGTCTATTAATACATATTTTTATATTATTAGTTCATCATGTAAAAATTGTTGACACTTTTTAGAAAAATCGTCGCCAAGGATATGGTATGTGGGAACACAAATATTCATGGAATACACCTAAAAAGAGACTGCAGCCAGTCACGGGACGCTCACGCTTGGGTGCCATCTGGCGCCTGAATGTTTGCCGTGCAACATTAAAAATGCGGGGCCTTAATGGTTGAGCTCGGAAATCTCGAGTACGTTATGGCGAGGCACACAGTGCTTAAAATGGGATTGGATATTCTTGGTTCTTTCGGTAAAGTCACGTAGGAGGAAAATAATAAGATTTTAAAAAATAATTAATACAATTTATCACGTCGTTTCGATTGCAACGCAAGCAATCATCGTCAGGTGTGAAAACCACAGCAAGAAAATTTTGAAAAAAAGTGGCGGTTTTCAAACTGTTCTTGCTGTGGTTTTCACACATGATAATGCTTGCTTGTGTTGCAATCGAAACGTCATGATAATTTTATTGTTTTATTTTTTATCATTTTCCCTTCTACGTGACTTTACCGAAAGAACCTAGAAAATGAATCCCTGCAGTCACGAAAGCTTTAAATCGAAATGGGATTGGATATCAATGAGTTGAGTACATTATAGGGTGTAAAGCAGAGTGTTACTGTACATATCGTTTTATTCGTTCTCTATCGATGGCGAGATGTTATCTTCCTTACCTGGTATGCAGGAGGTCGGGGATTAGATCCAGACCCTGACACTTGTGTATATTTGGAGTTTGCATGCTCTCTCTCCCCGTGGTCATGTGGATATTCTCTCTGGGTCCTCCAGTTTTTCCCTCCACATTTAGCAACGTACGTTTACATTCGATTATTTGTCTGCATGATAAGCCACTTCTTTGAGCTATCATTTGTGGCCAGGTCACTTCAAAAAAGAAGCTCATAGCTCAATGGGCTTTACCTGGTAAAATATATATTTTAAATTGTGATTTGCTTTACCTTTCCTATGCATTGCACTCCTATCGTCTGTCAAAGCCAAGCTTTGATCAAACTGGGATTAGAGTCATCCTGGTCGCTGAGCTAATGTCCTGAGCCACCCCCCCCCCCCCCCCGTCCATGTATTTCGGCTTTGCCAACAAATCACAAAGGGATGGGAGCGGTGGCACAATAGTTAGCACCTTCAGCTGGGCGGTGGTGGCTATACATGCCTGTAATCCAGCACTGTGAAGGCAGCGAGGGTTGGTGGACAGTATGCAAATGTCATTGAATTCCCTTCGCCTGGAAGTCAAGGAGGTACCCGTAGCCTGGCTTGCAAGGAGAAGGCGGTGGAGCAAATGTCAACCCCATCTGTGCCATCTGAACAGGATAGCGTGTGTCACCCTCGCACGAATGGGATTCCTCCGAGTGCTCCAGTTTCCTCCCGCATGTAAACATTAATCGACTGATAACACCTTGATATGTTTTTGCATTGTCTGTTGTTGTTACTTTTTGACCCACCCCTATTGGACATCTGTGAAAAGACTTTGATAGCTCACCAGATTCCTCCAGTCTAAATATTCTGATATGAGGCTATGTGTTGTAAATTATAAACAGATGATTCTTGAAGATGCGCAATTCCATGCATGGACTGTGAGCATAAGAGTTAATAGAAATTAATCTATCAAAAGATGCCCACTGCATTTCAAGATTATCTGGGCCAATTATGTGTTCGGTCTCACATCCATTCTGGGTAGATAACATGAGTATGGTCTTCTTATGGAGATGCTCACCGCCAGGGGAATATGAAAAGATGACCCCAACATCAATTCTTGATTGAGCAGAAACACACTTCACTTGGACTTGTGAACATTAACAACATGAAGCTTCATGAGGAGAAACATAAGAAGCACCCATGAAAAATGTCAAGATCAACTCGCCTTTTGAGATGCAGTAATACTTCTTGCTAAGCAGACAGATGGGGGAATGTCGATTGAAGCTGGTCTTCGTTTTTACAACCCATCCTGTGAACACACACATGCGTGGTTACTCAACAGATTTTTTTTTTAATCCATTCGATGGGAGAGATCATGATGTCAATTCCCGTGCTTGACGTTGTTCCATGTGGAAATCAACTTGGCCTTAAACTTGTGATAAATTACAAGTATTTTATACTCATCGTCAACACTCATCTATTTCCATTGAGGCTTCACATTTTGTGTGTCGGTAAGCCCTTTGTTATTTTAACGAGATACCTGTTACCAAACTAGGTTCTCATTCAAGGCTGAGTCAATGTTGGGGAAGCCTAGGACAGGTTCAGATATTCACTGATGTTGGCCGTGAGTGGGAATCAAGCGGTTTGTTGGGCTCGTAGCAGTGCTCAAACCATTGCGCTACACTGGGCCATACATTTACACGCACACACTGCACAAACAGTTGGCAGGAGAAATTGCGATTCGTCAATTACCGTGTTTCACATTGTTCCACACGGAGATCAACTTGGCCTTCAGCTTGTCCACCTCGTCCACCTCCACATCTTCGGTGTACTGAGTATGGCCGTTGCAGTCGGCCGACCCCGGCGTCTTGCCTCGATGCTCTCGCTCAAGCTCCTTTGTCATTGGGGCCGGCCGAGATGAAGGGCAGATAGTAAAAAACTCACCTACAGCAAAGGGTCAAATGTGATATAAGCGCACTGAAAATGGCTTACATTTATGAAAAACTCAAAACATGAATACTTTACCTTAAGAGGCAAACATATAATAGGTGACAATTTGGGCAATGGTCCCATGTCTTAGCAGATGTTTGGTATTTTTCCCCTGTAAAGCAGTTGTATTTACGAATGTGTTGAATGTAATTTGTACACCACTACCTAATGCAGTATCAATATTTTTTGCTTACATTTAAGGTCATATTCCTATCTTAACAAAACACCTATTTTATCTGATATTTAACAAATCAATAGGATTTCAGCTCAACACTCAAATAGTTATTTTCACCCAATAAATGTTTTAAATAGATTTTCCATCCAAAGACTAGAAGAATCACGACACTTTTTTTGTATTCTAATGGAATGTGATGCATCTGCATTTCATGTAAAACATTAAGTGGATGCAATGACAAGCGATGTAGCAACAAGGGCAATGAACAAAGGCAAGTCTATTGCCGCAGTGTAACTCGTGGGAGTTGAGGGAGCTGTAAATGTGTCAAGTGCAATGCCACATTTTTTTCAACCTATTAAACACGGCAGAAAGATAAAAATCACTGATGCAAAGAGGTGCTCTTAAAAGAGTCGGTGTGCATTATGTCAAGATGTCCATTATGAACTTATTCTCTCCAATGCCCTTGACCTGGTTTCATCTTCCCATCAATCCAATATGAAGTAAAAACCATACTTTAATTTATCCATATTGTATTCGGTTCTCCATTTCTTTGGAAATGGTCATTGAATTTCAAACCCTCTATTAAAAGTCAAAGCAATCGGTTGGCAGATCTCCACTGGTGGTCCCGAGTCAGTGGTGGAAATTGCACATTTCAATGGCAGGAACTAATTTTTCCATGTTCACGGATGACGTCATCGTCAGCCACCCTCTATCCACTGCTGAATGAAGACATGTCTGAGCTGTCACCATCTTTCATGGGCCTGCAATGTAACAAACCATTTTACTGCCTGCAGACGGGCTAATATGAGCCCTCTATCTCTGCTGTGGACGTTCTCCTAGACATGCTCCCTCCTTTGGCTGTCACTCCATTGATATTCTTGACCAGTGGCCATCATCCCTTCCAGTGACATCTAATAATCATTTCAACCAGCAACACACTCAGCATTCAAACAACTCTCTAAGACAGAGAGTGGCGCAGAGGCACGAGTCACAGACAATTTGGAAGGCTTGCCAGTTTGGTGAGCTGGCTCCAGCAAGCCCAAGCTCTGCAGTGCTCTATATATTAATGTTTTCAGACCATTGGTGTGTGTGTGTGTGCATGTGGTAAGAAACTGGATTACCTGGAGAAACCCCACGCATACAAGGGGGCAACAATATATAGCTTTATATATATAGCTTTAAATCTAGAATCAACAATATATAGTTCACATTTTCTGTCCTGCCTTCTCCTGCAAGCCATGGTATGGCATCTTAATGCCCACGGGATTACAGGCATGCACCACCAACCCAAACCCACTTACCTTTCAAAATTCAATATATCAAACTTGCATATGTTCTCATAATCCACACGATCCTCTTTCTCTTCACGCAACTTTCAAACACGAATCTGTTTTTATCACATTTCCTATTCATATTATATGTATACATATTCGACAGCGTTTTCCAAGTGTGACTGACAAATATCCTGAATAGTTTAGTGAATTACACACGTGTATATACCTGGGAATGACGTGGTAATATATTCCACTCTCGACATATTTTAGATAAAATATAAATTGACTATAAGGGCATCCCCTTGCCTTCAAACAGTGAAAATCAGAGTTGTTGCTTATAACGGAACTGTGCTTTTAAGGTGTCAATTACAGATTATACTGCATACGTATTTTAATATTTTATGGGCTACTAAGATAGTAGTTATTAATGTATTTTAAAACAAAAGGGGTGAGTTCAGGTCATGTTTTGCAAGAGACATCAAAATCATTAATTTGTGTAACATTGAAGTGTTGAAGACACTCAATATATGCGTTCAATTGTAACAATTCATACCAGGGCAGTTACTGTACATCATTCACATTCAAGATCGTTCCAACAACTTGTACATTTGTGTAAGGGGAAATATAACACACCTGTCAACCCACACGGTTTACCCCTATTCAAGTGCAGGTAAATTGAGTTTTCAGGTCCATAAGGTGCAAAAAAAGTATATTTGTTTGTATTTCTCCCTTGTGATAGGACTTTGTAGGGTGGACGTTAAAATGTATAAGAGCACAGGTGACCAATAAGGTCTGAATTGGTCTGTAAACACATTCCTGCGGAGGGGGCAGGTAGGAAATTTTGAAGTAATTATGTACGGATATTTAAGCCAAACTTGTTAGGGTCGTGCGCGGCAGAAAGCAAAATGAAAAGTGAGCAGAATTATAAAACGAGGCCAGAAAGTGCAGTGTATAATCCCCTGCCTCCTGTGAATCCCGGTTGGGCTTCCAGTCCATAAAAGGGCACCACGGGGTGACCAGCCCCTCCCCACCCAGCCCCACCCCTCCCACCCAGCCCCTCCCTACCCTCCCCTATCCATCCAGCCACCACCCCTCCGACGTGGACAGACATACACAATTAATCCCCTGCCTCCTGTTAATTAATCCCGGTTGGGCTTCCAGTCCACTACGTTTCCCTACCAGTATAAGGTAGGCACTGATAGGGGGTTGACAGGTATGATATAACAAGCAAGTCTTGGATACAATTTTGCGTACACAAAACTATGCCGCTCTGTAGCAAACCGAGATTGGTCATTGGAAAAAAAAAAACATTTCCTCGTTCTTCCAAGGACCACGTTTTTATTACCGTAAAAAAATATCTCTTGAGCACCATACTTCACCGAACACTGCGGCAAGAGTAGACGTTCTTAGGAGTAAGATTATTTTGCTTCGCATCGTGTAAACTCGTGTGGCTGCGGGAGATCGTGGCCAACACGAGTGGCGATTGATTTATGAACAGGTTCTGGGACATTCTTCACCAGCTTGCAATTGAGAGCGCAATGAAGCATGGTCAAACCATCCCACAAGGGACCCACACGGCGGCGAGATGCTATGGATGGTAACTACCTAAGGGTGGCAATATGAAAGCAACTAACAACTTACACTTTTAAGACTGCATTCAAATCGACGAGGCATAAATGGTGTGTGTGCATATGCACTGTCAATAAAGGCTGATGAAATGCCATTTAACTCGCCAAACTTAGGGCTTCGAAACTAGATACAGTACGATTTACCAATCATGGTCATAATACTAATGTGGTTATGTAATACAAACATACATGTACGTGCATGTTCTATACAGTATGTACACTGCACTATGTTCATTCCTCTGTCAATCCTCTTTGGGATGAAGGCCTCCCGAATCCGTGTTGGTCATGGGGGTTGTTTGGCCATACTTCACCACGCTGGTCACTGCGGGTTGGTAAAGAGGAGGGAGATGGGGGGGTGCCCATAGGCCGCTCCAGACTCAACTCGCCACGGTTATCCATGGCCAGGATTATAACTCGCGTGGCCAGAAGGTTACAGTTCCCTTGAGCACGGTGCCACCACTCCACCTGTGCATACCTTACATTACACACACGTTACGTTTGTGATCGAACAATAGCAATCTTCGAAGAGTCTTAGTTGCACGTTTCATCAGCGAGTAAGCGTCACAGCAACAGCTAAAATAGACATCTCCAAAGACCTTACACCCCAACCCCTACCACCCCAAGTGTGGATCACGCCTACCGGAACAGGCGGCCCCTCTTCGGCAGGGCTTTTTAGGAGAGGCCGATAAAAGCCCGAGTCGGTAGGCCACAGTAGTCTGCACTCATCTTGTTTCCAATCGCCCAGCTCTCACTTCCGAGGCATGTTTATTTAGAAGGGGATGTATGTTTATTTATAAAACATTGAAACCGATAATCTTCCCAAAACCAGCACAGCTCGCTCGCTCGCACGCTCAGATAGCGTCCAGTGAGCTTGTTTTATCGGGAGGAAACATATGCCTTTCCGGAATCGAATCGAGTCAAGCCTTGCCGGAACGATTTGTGAACTGCGATTCCGGCGGGTGATTTACTGCGAGCCCAGTGGGCACCTCTTATGAATCGAATTGAAAGTATGCTGTTCCACGCGGTCCGATTCCATAACTATCGGATGCAGCATCTTCGCTACCGTATTCTCCGGATTATAAGACAACCCAGCAAATAAGAGGCGCTCCAAAATCTTGTTCCAGAGTGTCAATACGGTTGTACAGATCTGGCTGTTACGTAACAACACCTACTATTTTTGGTGAAAAATTGGGTTTCTAGCCTGTGTTCAGGAACGTAACTGTCCTGCTTTTGGGGTCACCGCCAACAAGAGCCAAGGATCCATACTCTTTGGTTCTATTCGGTTAAGCCACGTAGGTAACTTTACCGAATACCTACGTGACTTTACCGAATAGAACCAAAGAGTATGGATCCTTGCAGTCACGAAAGCTTCAAATCTAGAAAAGAGCCAAGGACACACACACCAGAGACTATTGGACTCTTCCTCCCTCCTTTCTGGCATGTTTCGTCCTGGCCAATATTATACGTAGCAAACTCGTGCGTTCGATCCAGCAAAGCCATCAAGATTCGTATCCAGACAAAAATGCAAAATAAACGGATAATGTGTTTTAGAAAAAATTCGGTCACAGTCCCAATGATCACTGTTGCATTGCATTTATGGCTTTATTTTGGTGATTTTGAAAAGTTTTTTGGTTTGGCCATGTTTTTTTGTTTATTGTAGTACAGAGTTAGACTGATGGCCTTAATCTTAGTTGTCTTGTGGTTGTTGTTGTTGTTTGACTTGCATGCCACTGGGATTTTTGCACACAGCGTTGGTGTACGGTGCTATTTCAGGAATATTTTGATGTTTTTTTCTTGGATTTTCTGTTTGCACAGTCACATAGTCACTTTAAGATGTTTTCTTGTTCATGTTTTAGTTTTTTTGCGGTTGCACCCGATTCAAGAGCCGAATGGCTCACAGGGCTATACCAAATAAATGTAACTATGAACTAGAAAAGATTTAGTAAAACTATTACGTTATTTTTGAAATAGCAAAACTATTCCTGAATTATATCATGGGACCTCCTTTGACAGTACCAAAATATGAGAATAGGTTTTCCCATTTTTTCTGGTAACAAAACAGGTGTTCATATATTAAAACACCAAACTGAAACCTTTTACAAGGAATTATCTGCATTAACCACAATACTTGTGGTCAGAATGCAAACCAAAAACATACGCTGATAATATATGGATTGTCTTGGAAACTGATTGGTCCACACAAGAGACAGCTTTACTCTTTGGTTCTATTGGGTAAAGTCACGTAGGTGAAAATAAAATAACAAAAAATCACGACGTTTCGGCCACAACACAAGCGGCCTTCATCAGGTGGCTTCTTCCACTCCAGCGCTAATTCCTTTGTCAAGGGGTACCTCTGCGGATGTTTATACTTTAACTTAGCTATTTCAATGAGCCATTTCAATGCTAAATTATATGCTAATTCCTTTGTCAAGACGCGTCGTCTTTTTCTTCTCACACAACTTAAAGGTCGTGATCTAAGCGTGGCTTCTTCCACTCCAGCACTGTCCTCCAGACAGTCTCGTCCCTTCACCTGATGAAGGCCGCTTGTGTTGTGGCCGAAACGTCGTGATTTTTTGTTATTTTATTTTCACCTACGTGACTTTACCCAATAGAACCAAAGAGTATGGATCCTAGCAGTCACGAAAGCTTTAAATCTAGAAGAGACAGCTTTGTTTCTACACTACTTGATTCCTTGTAAAAGGTTTCAGTTTGGTGTTTTAGCATCTTAACACCTACATTTTGATTTAAAGCTTTCGTGACTGCAGGGATTCATATTCTTGGTTCTTTCGGCAAAGTCACGTAGAAGGGAAACAAATAAAAATATAAAACAATATTTTATTGTTTCCCTTCTACGTGACTTTACCGAAAGAACCAAGATTATCTTAACACCTGTTTTGTTGCCAGAAAAAAAGAGAAAACCTCTTCTCATATTCCTGAATTATTTTGTCTATTAATGTCTTCCTTTAACAGAATTTTATTGTTTAATATTTTTATTATTTTATTGTTTCCCTTCTACGTGACTTTACCGAAAGAACCAAGAATATGAATTCCTTAGAGTAGTTTAGATTTTACTCTTGCATATTCGTACTGTACCTTAGCTTCGGCTCCATAGGTGAGAATTGAAGCCCAAAGTTCTCCAAAGCCGGATACGAGGAGATAAGAGGCCACAGGTTCCCAAATAGTCTAGTAATACCGAGGATAGTTCTTATTTCCCTCTTGTTTCTCATTAAAGAAGGCTGTAAGTGTAAGACATGTGGGGAGATGGGTCACAGCTCGGTAAACTATGGTTCCGGAGCGACATGCGGCTCGTCAAGGACTCTTTCGTGGCGTTATTTACTATGGATCCACCATTTCGTATTCAAATGCATTGTGGCCCTTGAAATATTGAGTGTTTTTTTTGTTTACCGAATTCCCCAAAAATGTCTCTTATTATTCTGGTTGCCGACCCCTGAGTTCAGTAGTTAGGCAGCTAAAGTAGGTAGGTGTAGGTAGGTTTTTATGTGAGTGAGCAGACAGTTATGTGGTAGGGTTGTTAGTTTGCATATTAGTGTAGGTATGTATCATGTAGATATGCTGTAAGTTTCACACGTAGGTGTACTCTACGGTACTCCAAACGCAGCGCCAAATTCATGTTGTTAATGACTTGTGTTTAGCATTGAATGGAATGTTTATTGAGAAATATATCTTGCTTCATATATCATCAAACGGCTGTCCTTACAGTAGACAATTAATTTACAACCTCCACATAAATGTCAGCTATTTACATTTTATTTCACTGTATTAAAATACAAAATGTGCATAGAAAATATGGGTGAATTGTATCTGTATTTTATACGGCCTTTTTCAAAATACCAAACATGCATACAAACCTCCGGGAATGTCAGTAAAAAATATATACGCAACGTACTACTGTTAAATTTAGCGACAAGTACATTCAATAATGAAATTCCTATTACTGTATGACTTATATGACATGAGCTATTTCGTAAAAATAAAAAATGACATCTTAAAGAATGATCTTTGGATTCCCAACGTATATACATTGAACACACCACCCATCCCTCATTTAGAATACTTACACTGTAATGAAACTTCGTTGGCCAAATTCATACTTATGAGCCTGCTCTTTATACATTATTTAATTGCAGTGGCTATCCGTGGCGGTCTGCTATATTATCACATTAGCCACAAGCTATAAGAAATATGCACAAGCCCTCTTTATCAATCCACTGCTGGATGAGGGCCAACTCCCTACACCATGCTGGTCTTGGCAGTTACAATGTTTGACCATACTTCACCACGCTGGTCAGTATGGGTTGGTAAAGCCAGGGAGCATAGACGTTGGGATGCAGTAGAGTACAACAATGGATTGTTCTGCACTGTCCTCTGCTGACAACATAGTTGCCTTTGCCACCTGTTACTCATCCATCTACTAAAGCACCCAGAACGCGCTTGATAAACGTAATTAATAAAATATAAACTGCATAAATGTGAAATTCAGGATTGTGTATGATGCACTCAGCTATATTTCATATGAATATTGTCAATTTAAAGGCTACAACAAAAATCAATGCAACACTTTAAAGTGTAAAGACAGTTTTATAATAACGATGAACTGTTGCATTCAAGTCACGGATACACATTTTATCAATAAACTGTACAAAATGAATTTCGAATAAATTAACAAACTGTCGAATGCATATCATCATGATCTATGACAACGGTTCCCAACGTTTCTGCCACTGCCAACCCTCAAGAATTTTCCATGGGCCATCGCTCACGAAGAGATGTTGGTCCCTTGTGAACAAAAACAAATATTAACTGCAAGTTTTGGTTTAAAGCTTTCGTGACTGCAGGGATTCATATTCTTGGTTCTTTCGGTAAAGTCACATAGAAGGGAAACAATAAACTAATACATAAAAATATGAATTTTATTGTATTATATATATTTTTATTATTTTGTTTCCCCTCTTACGTGACTTTACCGAACGAACCAAGAATACGAACTGCAAGTGTTTATCTGGCCACCTCCCAGGGATTTGTGAAGCATGAGTGGTCCCAAATGGTCCACAGATTTTTATCTGCTCCATTGTTGGGACGTTGCTTGCATGTGATTGCTTTCGTCATTTGGGTGACCCAGGTGTCTCCTGCCAATGATCATGACTTATCTCCGGTCTCTTGCCTTCTCACCCGGTACAACAAAACAAACTTCTATTTGCGGGAACAGTCCCGGCCCTGTCGCTCATCGCTAAATTCACTGATGAGTGGTTAGGCACCACTCATCTCGATGACGAATATCTCTGTTATGTTACTGTCGGTTGAATTTCAAGTTGAATTAAAAAAAGCATCAACGTCCAACACTTGACGTGGTAGAAATTGAGGAACTATAATCAAAAATGAGTTTTCACTCATGCAGCTTACCTACTTGAGAAACAATATTCAGCATATTCAAGATCCTCCACGGACTTGCTCCTGTCTACCTCGTCTCATCTCACTCTACTGCTCCTCTTAACGTGCTCTCAGCTCCACCAACCAAGGATTTCAATCAAACCCACAAGTCAACTTCTGCTCAGTGAAAGGACATCCTTTCTCCTCTGCTGACCCCACAGTATGGAGTTCATTCCCACCCCCTCAGCCATCCATGCTGTCGACTCCCTGCCCCTGTTAAAATTCAGGCTCAAGACCTTTCTTCACTCGACTCATGTTTAGCTGTGGTGCACGTCCCACTGTTTTGCACATTGTCTTGAGATGACGTTGAACTTTTGCATGACAATCGTTTTATATTCATGTTGGATTTGACGTAAAGGGCGTAACCATAGGATGCATAATAGCTTCACGCACCACGACCTATTGAAATCGCATACATCTCTGTAGGCTGTGGTTTAGAATGCGGTTGGGAAGCTGAGAAGTTAATTTTTTTCCTTAACGAGCAGTTATGCATTTGGGAAGTGAGATAACAAGTATAATGTCATGTGTTTTTAAAACGTATTTTAGCACATTCATTTTACAGCCATCTGTCAATCCACCATCGAATGAAGGACTCTCTACGCCATGACGCTAATGCGGATTATTTGACCATGCTCCCCAGTGCTGGTGAGTGCGGGTTGATGGATATGTGGCGAGGTCGTTAGATCAGTCGTGAGGAAGTGGATGGACAGGTCCCTTAACTCTGACCACCGCTTCCAGTATGCCCAGGGGGTGTGTGATGCTTTCGACTACGCGGCAGCGCCCTGTGTGAATTCACGGTGTGGGAGACCGTGGCGCGCATCATCCCCGGCTGTGAAGTCCGTCAGGGGTTGTCGGGCGGACCAGTGTCCCTGCACGTGCTGGAGGAGGAGGCTGTCACATGGCTCTGTGGCTACGTGGGCTGACGTCCGCTCACAACATACCATCGACATACATACATACATAAGCAACCATTCAATAATAATTATTAATGTATCTCGTGTATCAGCTGCTCCAACTGTGTAAAGGTCAGAGGCCGGGGTGGTGGCGGGGTGGGGGGGCAGTCTCTGTCTCTTTTTGACCGCGGGCGCGGCAGCGCTTAGGGCACCGCTCCGTACAGCTCGTTGTCTTCAAGGGCGGGCCCCACGCCACCGCCGTCGTCGTCGGACGCAGCGCGGGTCGTGGTGGCGACGTCGTGGTCCAGCTCCGAGTAGAGCAGCTCCCCTCCTGCCGGTCCCTGTCGACGTCGCCACGGACGACCGGGGGCGCCAAATGGTTGAGAACGAATAAGACGGCGCACGTACGTGGACTACGCGGTCACTTTCCAACGTACGCGTGCCTCCAGGTAGTGCCGTGTTATTTAACAGTATGGAGGTCAATGGTTAGCTGTGAAAAATGTCCGCTGCGTATTTGCGAATACAGAAGAGTCGTTCCCTTTTCTCTGGGTTGTGTCTTCCAAGATTTGGTTAACCATCTGATCAATTTTGCTACTTTAGAAAAGGGTAAGTCCGTAATAGCGACACAACTTAATGCTGAAGTTTTGACCCACCCCAACTGAACATCTGTGAAAAAATCTTTCTAGCGCATCGGATTCCTCGAGTTTAAATACGTATTATGATTATGACCTTATGAACATTATCCTGCCCCATGTAACAGACGGGTGGACAGAGCTGATGGAAATCAAAGAGTATCCCTGTAAAACGAGCACATCAGACTGCTCATTTGCATCGATCGCCCTGAGCCAGGGGTGAACATTTCATATGCCTGTGGCAAAGGCTAGTCCATCCATAAGAAAAAAACACCACTCTTGACTTTGCGAAAATGAATGCGTACATGTACTTTGCAAACTTCATCAGTTATACTTGACCAGGGAAGCCTGACTTAGTGTAAATATTAATTTATAGGGTTAGGTTCTGCTCGGGATGGTTTTATCATCATCGGTAGCCATGATCTCTCATGGTCTTTTAATTAGTTTATTTCTCAAAGTATTTTTGCTTGCAGAATGATTTTTTTTTAATTACCAGAGAAAATACTCAAACAGTGACATGGCGGCATCCAATGACAATGGTAGAGAATTTTGATTTAAAGCTTTCGTGACTGCAGTAATTCATATTCTTAGTTTTTTCGGTAAAGTCACGTTGAAGAGAAACAACAAAATAACAAAATATATAAAACAATAAAAAATTCTCACGACGTTTCGACCATAACTCAAACGGTCATCATCAGGTGTGTCGGTTTGCATAAATTTATTTTTAAAACGGTACATTTATTTATTTATATATATTTAAAAAAACGTTGGCGTCACGCGCAGCGATTGGCAGTTTGCCCAGGACTAGTCCATCTATTTTTTTGAAAAGAGGAGGGGGGAGACGAAATTTTTTATAATGTATGCTGTCTGAAAGCCACTGTAAGCGTGAACAATCAATCAAGAACTGAAATGATTTATCAAATCTTTCCAATGATTGCTAAGATAGAATCCATCTTCTCGGTTGAAATTGTCTCTGTGCTTGTATATGTGGATAGCCTCATGAACGAATCTCTCATGGAAGCCAGATGGCTTACAAAGAACCTCCGTCTTGGAAAAGTCAATGGCATGTGAGCCTACTGAATTAGAACAATGATCTGCTACGGCCGAGGTGTTGGTCCTACCGTGTTTAAGGTCTGCTTTATGTTCACGAATGCGGTCCGAGACATGGCGTTTGGTTTCTCCAATGTAACTACTACCACAGAGGCAACTTAGTTTGTAGACACCAGGGTATTGTATGTCCGGAATCACATCTTTTACAGACGGAACCAGATCACGGATTTTATGTAATGTGTTGAAACGGACCTGGATCTTGTGTTTATTCAAGATTTTGGAGATCTTTTTTGTGATCCCATGGAAGTCGAAATAGATGGCAAGATACCTTTTTTGGATGTCCTAATTAAAAAGAGACCTGATGGTTCAATGAGCCACTCTGTCTACAGGAAAGCTACCCATACGGATGCTTATCTGAAACCGGATTCCCACCACCATCCATCACAGAAGAATTCTCTCATCAAGACTCTGTATCATAGAGCCCAATGCATATCCGACCAGGAACACATAAGCAGTGAACTCAAGCACGTACACCAAGCTCTTAGGGCTAATGGTTACTCCGACTATACAATCCGCAAAGCTATCACTTAAACCATGAAGAAGAACCCTCTTGAGGAGCCTTTCAAAACCATCACTTTACCCTACATTGCTGGGATCACAAAAAAGATCTCCAAAATCTTGAATAAACACAAGATCCAGGTCCGTTTCAACACATTACATAAAATCCGTGATCTGGTTCCGTCTGTAAAAGATGTGATTCCGGACATACAATACCCTGGTGTCTACAAACTAAGTTGCCTCTGTGGTAGTAGTTACATTGGAGAAACCAAACGCCATGTCTCGGACCGCATTCGTGAACATAAAGCAGACCTTAAACACGGTAGGACCAACACCTCGGCCGTAGCAGATCATTGTTCTAATTCAGTAGGCTCACATGCCATTGACTTTTCCAAGACGGAGGTTCTTTGTAAGCCATCTGGCTTCCATGAGAGATTCGTTCATGAGGCTATCCACATATACAAGCACAGAGACAATTTCAACCGAGAAGATGGATTCTATCTTAGCAATCATTGGAAAGATTTGATAAATCATTTCAGTTCTTGATTGATTGTTCACGCTTACAGTGGCTTTCAGACAGCATACATTATAAAAAATTTCGTCTCCCCCCTCCTCTTTTCAAAAAAATAGATGGACTAGTCCTGGGCAAACTGCCAATCGCTGCGCGTGACGCCAACGGTTTTTTTTATATATAAATAAATAAATGTACCGTTTTTAAAATAAATTTATGCAAACCGACACACCTGATGATGACCGTTTGAGTTATGGTCGAAACGTCGTGAGAATTTTTTATTGTTTTATATATTTTGTTATTTTGTTGTTTCTCTTCAACGTGACTTTACCGAAAAAACTAAGGAAAATGGTAGAGAATGTTAACTTACACCAAATACAAAGCATTCTGTCACTCGAACGTACCAGTCTCTCTTCTTCTTCGTTCGCCGAGTTTCCACAGCTCTCGCCTTCAAAACAAAGACCACAGGTCGCGTGCCATTGCCACTTAATCTTTGGATCAACGATAGGTATGGAAATTCTACGTATGGATATCGTACGTGAATGTAACCAAATACAAATCTGACAAGGCCATTTGCGGTGTGGTTGTAGAGAAGTGTGAGCCAATCAAATTGGAATACAGAAATAAGTTATGAATTAGGTGGCCGGATGGCTCGGTGGTCAGAGCGCTGAGCCGACACCACTGAGATACCACATTGAGTTCAGTTCCCGTTTTTTTTTCAATTACCCTGTGAGCCAAGAAGCTCTTCTTTATCGGGTTTCATGAACAAAGAACAACACCACCGCTTCTCCGACAAACGCAACAAGTTACAGTGAAATAATTGAACGATACGTAGCAAATCATAATCGCAATATTATAATTGCAATAAAAAAACATTGTAATATCATTTTTTGTTAAATATAGATTAGTATCAATTAGCATGCTTTATCTCTAAAATAAATTCTAATTTAAATCTGCCATATTAATTGTAATGCAGATATGGCCTAAAACATGATGGCGTTATATTGTGGAATAGAAAACACAACGTCCATAAAAAAAACGGAACTCTAAACAATGCACAAAAGTGGTCTCTTATAGGCAATTCATATTTGTACCTCCACTAACTCTTTATTTCGTTTTAAAGCTTTCGTGACTGCAGGGATTCATATTCTTGGTTCTTTTGGTAAAGTCACGTAGAATGGAAATAATAAAATAATAAAAATACAACATTCTTGGCTCTTTCGGTAAAGTCACGTTGAAGGGAAACAATAAACTAATAAAATATATATAAAACAAAAACATTATATATTTTATTATTTTATTGTTTCCCTTCAACGTGACTTTACAGAAAGAACCAAGAATATGAAGCACTGCAGTCACGAAAGCTTTAAATAAAAAAATGAAACAAATTTTCACGACGTTTCGATTGCAACACAATCAATCATCATCAGGTGTGAAAACCACAGCAAGCTATGGTTTTGAAAACCACAGCAAGCTATGGTTTTCACACCTGATGACGATTGCTTGTGTTGCAATCGAAACGTCGTGAGAATTTCATTGTTTTCTTTTTATTAATTCCCTTTTACGTGACTTTACCGAAAGAACCAAGAATATAAACACTTTATTCATTGGTGGATGGGCAGGAATTCACATGAAAGTATCGATTTAAAGTCAGTCATCGACGACAATGACCGCAAGTATGGCTTTCAACTGCCCATGATGAATGTTGAACTTCTTTAGCACCATACGTAGCTAATCTGAGGTGCGGGGGAAGAACAACAAGTGTTGGGAGTTGATAGTCTAATCCTGATCACCAAGGACTGCCCAAAAAAACCACCATAAATCATTATCATTATTGTAAGTTGATATTCAACTTAATTGGCTAAACTCCAGCATGTACTGAGAAATTAAATATCACACAAATCTCACAAAGTGCGTGGGTAAGTGCTTCCTTTATTATGTAAAGATAAAAGAGCCAGTCGAAAGGTTTTTCAGAATCGGTTGCGTAAAATATCTTGTGCAACCATTCTCTGAAACTGCCCCGCAACATTTCTGAATGCATTATTCGTCTTATGATGTCAATAGTACATGGGCAATGCAGTTGAATGTAGATCTTTTTAGCATCTAAATGCGACCGCATCTCAAGGCACTGTGCAGAATTAGCGGGCACATCTATTTTTTAGCGGCAGCCATAGGCAGACGTCACAAGGAACGTCCCTGTTCAAGGCTCGATGTAAATGGGCAGGGAGTCGAGAGCACAGAGGGCCAGGGGAAGGGAGTTCCATGGTCACCGCCACACGTTGTCACCGATTTACCTGGCCGTGTTCTCGAAGGAGCGGTGATGCAGGAATACACGGTGCTCTCTTGGAATCCGTATTGTAAGTCGGAGTACAATGCTGCGCAGAGAGAGTTAACATCGGCATGTAATCATGAGAAGACTTAACACAATTATGCCCGCGTACCAAGTTAACCCCGGCCCTTGGAGATGCCAGTCTACCATGTGCCCTGCCCTTTCGCTTAATAAATTGTGGAAAATAACAATACAAAAAATACACGTGTTATTTAATAATACATTTAAGAAAATCAACCGAAGTATATTTTAACTCTGGCACGTAGGTTTTCGCTACCAATATTATGCATAACAAAGGTCTTTTGGGTTAAATCGCGTAAGTACAAATTCCTTAACCCGCCACCACCCGACAGCCAATTAGTAAGGTTTGTCACTTAAAAAATAATGTAAAAACCGCCCGATGATGCTGGATGTAATCACAAGTGAAACGTCACGGTACTCAAGTTGTAAATGTTGTGGATTTACTCTCTAGCACACCGGTGGGCTCAAGCAGTAATTAATTGACACGTTTTGTGTACGTGACAAACCTTACTAATTGGCTGTGTCGTTTGGTGGCGGGTTAACGAGACATTTATATATTTACGCGATCTAACCCAAAAAAAACTGTTTTCATGAGTATATGTTCACCCACCGCCTTTGTGAATTTGCTGTGCATAGAGCAGATTGCTTGGCGATGGATTAAAATGTCGAGGGCCTTGAGACCTTTGGGGCCCATGCTGGGTAATCAAGGGAGTCCTTTAATGTCAGAGCTCAGAGTTTGTGTCCCTCGTCCGAGAAATGGGTTGCGAAGGTTACTTAAATCTTGACTTAAAGCTTTCGTGACTGCAGGAATTCATACGCTTTGGGTCTTTCGGTAAAGTCACGGAGATAGGTTCAAAGGAAGTAACCAAAAAAATATAATTTAAAAAAAACTACGACCTTTCGATCGCAACACAAGCGTTCGCCATCAGGAAGAAAAAAGAGGGGGAACACTGTGGAGGTTTAAAGGTTTATAACAGTCTGCCTCGGCAGCTGTCCCCCTCTTTTTTAGTCCTGATGACGGACGCTTGTGTTGCACTCGAAACGTCGTAGTTTTTATTTTTTGTTATTTTCCTTGAACCTATCTACGTGACTTTACCCAAAGACCCAAAGAATGAGAAGGTAACTTCATTCGTCTTCTGCCCTGAATGACCCTATTGCTCAAAACACTGTGGAGTAGCAGGTAATGTTTGGCATTGCGTTTATCTCCATATATAAAAGGCAAAGTTGTGAATATGTGTGTCTGTTCAAAATGTTTACCGTACTTCTCGACATGCAACAAACTTGAAATTTGCCATGTGGGTACTTTCCACACTATACACCATGCAAAAATTCTAAAAATACACTTTTTTGTGGGGAGGGGGGAGCTCAATAATGCATTTATTTTTTGCACAGCAAGTGAGCTGTGACGTCATATCTGTCACGTGACCCGCGCATGTGGAAGCGTAACGCATTGTAGTGTAGAGGTTAGCGCGCCGCGCTATGAACCCGGCGACCCAAGTTCGATTCCCGCTCAAGGCCACCATCGGTGACGATTATTTGAACCGGTCCTGGGCCTTCCCTAGGTCGACGCAGCCTCAAACAAGTAACTGGTGTGGTGTGTGAACATCGCCACTGGGGAGACAAAGGCGGCCGGGCGTGGTGAATCCAAGTCCCAGGCGAAGCCGGGTAGTAAAGCTAGTGATGAATAAATACATATTTAGAGAACAATTGACATTACTTTGTTAATCCACTACCGCTTCGCTCGTTAGATGTGGGGATTGTTTAACCATACTTCACCAGCCTGGTTGGCATAGGTTGGTGCAGATCAGGGGGTTGGTCAGGACTGGTTTAGATATAACTCGTGTTATCTTATCTCATCTTTTATGGACTCATAGAGCGCCTTAGACCAAAGTGCTTTACGATAATTATAATACAATTGTACGTGAGATGATCGTCGTTAAAATAAAGAGGGGTTATTATAAGTGGCAGTGTAGTTATGGTAACTGGAGGACAGGCGGGAGTGGTTAGGGAGGGGTTGGGGTAGTGATAGGGGTTGGGGAGTGTTTGGGTTATGGGTAGTGATAGGGGTAGTGTTTGGGTTAGGGGTAGTGATAGGAGTTGGGGGAGTGTTTGGGTTAGGGGTAGTGATAGGGGTTGGGGTAGTGTTTGGGTTAGGGGTAGTGATAGGGGTAGTGTTTGGGTTAGGGGTAGTGATAGGGGTTGGGGGAGTGTTTGGGTTAGGGGTAGTGATAGGGGTTGGGGTAGTGTTTGGGTTAGGGGTAGTGATAGGGGTTGGGGTAGTGTTTGGGTTAGGGGTAGTGATAGGAGTTGGGGGAGTGTTTGGGTTATGGGTAGTGATAGGAGTTGGGGGAGTGTTTGGGTTAGGGGTAGTGATAGGGGTTGGGGTAGTGTTTGGGTTAGGGGTAGTGATAGGAGTTGGGGGAGTGTTTGGGTTAGGGGTAGTGATAGGGGTTGGGGTAGTGTTTGGGTTAGGGGTAGTGATAGGGGTTGGGGTAGTGTTTGGGTTAGGGGTAGGGATAGGGGTTGGGGTAGTGTTTGGGTTAGGGGTAGTGATAGGGGTTGGGGAGTGTTTGGGTTAGGGGTAGTGATAGGGGTAGTGTTTGGGTTAGGGTAGTGATAGGAGTTGGGGGAGTGTTTGGGTTAGGGGTAGTGATAGGGGTTGGGGAGTGTTTGGGTTAGGGGTAGTGATAGGAGTTGGGGGAGTGTTTGGGTTATGGGTAGTGATAGGGGTAGTGTTTGGGTTAGGGGTAGTGATAGGAGTTGGGGGAGTGTTTGGGTTAGGGGTAGTGATAGGGGTTGGGGAGTGTTTGGGTTAGGGGTAGTGATAGGGGTTGGGGAGTGTTTGGGTTAGGGTAGTGATAGGGGTTGGGGGAGTGTTTGGGTTAGGGGTAGTGATAGGAGTTGGGGGAGTGTTTGGGTTAGGGGTAGTGATAGGAGTTGGGGGAGTGTTTGGGTTAGGGGTAGTGATAGGAGTTGGGGGAGTGTTTGGGTTAGGGGTAGTGATAGGGGTAGTGTTTGGGTTAGGGGTAGTGATAGGGGTTGGGGAGTGTTTGGGTTAGGGGTAGTGATAGGAGTTGGGGGAGTGTTTGGGTTAGGGGTAGTGATAGGAGTTGGGGGAGTGTTTGGGTTAGGGTAGTGATATGGGTTGAGACATTTTTTATCTGCTGTTGGAGAGGAGGCGTAGGCAGGAAGGCCGAGAAGAAGCGAGTTGCAATAATCAAGGTGAGCGAGCATAAGGAAGTAAACCAGGAGTTTGGCAGCAAATAGTAAGATGAGGGGATGGAATTTGCGAACATTTAAGAGGTGAAAGCGGCAAGTGCGGGTTGTGGCAGTATGTACGCCTGTTGAACCGCTTTCGCATCGTACGTAGTCAACCATAATAATTGATCAGAGGTGCGGCATGGATGTGGTTTGAGAAGGAGAGGGAGGAGTTGAAGGTAACCCTGAGGTTGCGAGCAGAGGAGGCAGGAGAGTGAGGGAGAAGGGAGGGAATGAGATGGAAGGGCAGAGCGGAGGGGAGTGGGCAGAAGGGAAGAAATGTTTTTCAGTTTGAGGAGGATTGACGGTGTGAGATAGTGGCGTGCCGACCAGGATTGGACAGTCGTTAAAGCAATCGGAAATGTGGGAGGAAACGTCAGGGGTAAAGCAGGGAATGGGAAAGGAAATCTGCGTGTCGCCTGCGAAGAATCGATGGGGGAAATCAAGTGAAGAAATGGCAGCTTTGAAGAGGTGCGATACGGTGGGAGAATAGCAAGGGCCCTAGGACAGACCCTTGAGGTGGGGGGAGGTGGACACCAACAGAGACGTGGGAGGGAGGGGAGATGGAGCGGTCGAAAGAGACAGAGGGAGCGCGTGAAGAGAGCTGAGACTGGAGACAGGAGAGGAATGTGCTGGGGGTGCCGAGGCCGGCGAGGGTGGAAATGTGTGCGGAGTGATCTACCGGGTCGAAGGCCGTGACCGGTGATCGAACTCGAGGCACGGAGTCCCGAGTGCACCGCACTTACTTCTACCGCAGCACTACTCAGTTCTTTCATTGTATTGCTCCGTCATTATCATCGTCATCATAACGCCTTTGTGATTATTTTGAATATATAAATTCTGTTTGTATTTTTAAGTGACTGTTTAACTCATGTCTCCCTTGAATAAAAGGAAATGTGTCATGTGTTTCAATGTGCGTATTTAATCTCCCGGTTAAATATAGGATGCTGCTACTTATGCACAAGGTGGAAAACACGCACCGTCTGAATGGGGGTGTTCATGGTGTGCCGATTGAGTTTGTTCCGCATAGAAAACCATCGGTCTCGATTAGTTCTTTCCGTGCACACTTTGTGTTCACGTTACAATCTACTGGCCACGATTGACGTGGACGATTTGAAAAAACCCAGGCTGACTCAACAGTTTAACTTTTACGCAGGCAGCTGATCTATCGTGAATAAGCCGGCGCCCGCATGTCTTTAACAACCCGATTAGCCTTGCGGCCTGATGAGAGAATTTGCATCGCACATTGATGGTTTCGAGTTAACGAGCAACAGCGTGAAATGTACACGCATTACTAAACTCGTCCCTAATGATTGAGGACCGTAGGATTTTGTGAAATTAAAAATAAAGATCGCCGTTTTGTCCCCGACCGAATCACCCACAATGCACACAATGTCATCAAATTTCAGAAGCTATGCTAAGCAGAACTGATAGCACCTCCGATTGGCACGGTTGGCGATGTATGGTGCGAAAGAAGTTCAACATACATATATAGCACATGGAAGGGTGACTGCCATGTATATAACAGGTGTTCTAGGTTACATTGTGGGCAGCAGAGGACACTTGATATGCACATAGACTCACTCTCATTGACAATTATGTAGTTCGAGAATTATCAGTGAGCCTCGATAAGCAAACTGCGTGGCATATATTGAAGGCTGGCTCACCATTGAATAGGGATTCGTAGCTAAATGGGCCTTACCCGAAATAAACTGACTGTCCGAAATTAATTGATATGATGCATAGATTGTAAGCGTGGATATCGACAAAGAAAATATAAAAAAAATGCTGAATCGTGCGCAAAGATGCAGGGAGGGTGCACGCTTGTAATTACGCCCAGGGACACATATAGCAACACATGAATCTGAGAACATGCGCACGTTAGACACGTAATATTGGCTGTTTGGAATGGTACGTGGGCGCGAGAAGGGCATGTCGCTCGTATGACGGCTGGCAGTTGAGAACTAGCAACAGAGTGGCATCCAACCAAGAGATTTCATCCATCGCGGAGATGGAGCATCGAAATCGCCTCTTGTGCAGTCAGCTCGGCGGATTGTTTCATGACACTTACATCGATGAGGTCTTCTCTTGGATTGATGTCGAATAGGTACAGGTGGCGCAGTCGTAGTGTCAGCAGAATAAGCAGCAGCAGCAGCTGCAGGAGCAGCTGGTGCAGGAGGCTTGCTCTTGTTTTTGCATCGCCTGGCCTGCCTGGGTCGCTCTGCACCAGACACAAGCGCTCATTAACGAGGGTCTTCGTCTCAAGTGCCGTTAAATGACACGTGGCGGCGGAGGGCTTTTAACTGGGTCAGACACACGGAGCAGGTGTCACTGAATATATTTCCCCACCCGAATATTTGCACTCCCACGGGAACACATATTTGCCCCCATCAATGATCAGTTGTTTCCCCTGATTTATTGTATCCCCAGGTGAGGGTTAGGGCTAAGGGTTATGGGTTAGGGGATGAGTGGCCACATTTGAGATCTTGGGTTTGAATGCGGGTATCAGCCGCCCATGTTAAAACTGGAATCTCAAGTAGAACGAATTTATGGTCTGAGCCCGCTCAGTAATAACTTAACTTGCAACTGAGTTTGACTTATATCCTTGTCTGTTTATATATTCGTACAATAGTCACCATAATTATACCCGTTTAATGTGCCTGAAGCTTAATTGGATTCGTACCGTGATCAATATCAAATAATCTGCCTAAACCGACTTACGCTACAGGGAATGTATTAGCATTTCCTCTGCGCCTTTGACGCTGCCCACTGGTTATTTGTTTAATCTTCACAATGATCAATTCCCGTTGGGCCCACGCAACGTGATGCAGACAGAGCCGCTAATTGTTAAGATTAACCGAATGACCGGCGAACGGTGGCTCGGACCAGAAAAACAAGCCTCTTTTTGTTTGACCAACGTACAGAATCTTGTGTTACATTTCTCACGTACGACTATTGTTTTTTGCTGATTTATATTTGCTTCGCTGCAGTAGTTTATTTGATTTGTGACATAGGTCCCTCTTGCAAATGAGACTCATCCTCGTCTCTTCAGTTCATACTTAACATTTTTCATTTAACTTGGCTTCCATCCAACTCTGAGAACTCTTACAATCGCTGCTATTGCCGTGTGTCGTACAGTCTTTACGGGTCGCATAAGAGGTGTGCCCCCTAATGTAGCTGAAGTGAACTGCTGTACGAGCAAATTTGTGAAATTATTCTCTGACACAAGGTGTTCCCACTGCTCGCCGGATATAATTCAAGTTTGAAAACTGGGAATGGCTGTGTTTTGTGACTTTCTCGGAAGGCCAATTTGGAATATCATTGGGAATCAAGAAAATAATTAAATCAATATTTTATTTTGTAAGGCGACCAAATAATTTGAAAGTTTAGCAGGTTTGAGCCTGGCGAGTACTTGGATGAGAGACGTCATGAGCATGCCAGGTGTTATAGGCTTTGGCTGGGAGATATTCAGACTATGGCAGTCTTGCACAGCAATGGAGCCTTGACTTTATCTGTATTGAGCTGTGAGCGTTATCGCCTCGTATGCGCGGTGGGTTTTCTCAGGAACCTCCAGTTTGCTCTCACATCGAGGACAAGACGCACGATGGAACAAGTCCAGTGTCACACTTACTCGCTCTGCTGTGCTTCGTCTTTGCCAGGTCACTCGTGTTGCTGCTGTACGTTGCCATCCTCTGCATGTTTTCGTACGTAGCAGGCCCTGCAGAGAAACGCAAACGCGTTGTGAGTCTGAAAAATAAGAATAGGTTTCACCCGAAGCCACGTAACACCACTTCTTGCGGGAAAAGCGTGGATGTAATGTCACCGAAGGGACATCATACTTCATGCTCAATCTGAAACAATTCTTCCCCACCCCCCGGCAGATTATCTGACATTTGACACATCGGTCAAATGTTTGGATTGATACAAATATCTGGAGCACATCGCTAACGGAGAAATACAAATCACATGTGCAATGTACAGAAGACGAAGATTCCCCATGTAGCCTTAACCGATTGCTGAGGCAAATGCTGCGAGTGAGCCCCTATGAAGGGCTAAACAGCACACGAGGGGGTGGTGTTGCCGACACCATGCCCGGCCGCCTTTGTCTCCCCGATGTTGATGTTACACACCACACCAGCAGGCCCCGGATCGGTTGAGATCGTCATCACCAACGTTGGCCGTTCGCTGGCTGCAATGGGCTAACCACTACACGACCACTCCCCGCAACAAAGACAAAGATCCCCCGTGTAGCCTTAGCAGACTCTTGGGGCAAGTGCTGTTAGCGAGCACCTATGAAGGCCGGTACGGCACGCTAGGGGGTGGGTGGCCAGCACAACGCCCGGCCGCCTTTGTATCCCTAGTGGCGATGTTTACACACCGTACCAGGTACTTATTTGAGGCTGATTCGACCTAGGGGAGGCCCAGGACCGGTTCTGATAATCGTCACTGATGGTGTTGGCCATGAGCGGGAGTCGAACTCGGGTCACCGAGTTTGTAGCGCAGCGCACTAACCACCTTTATAAACAGTTCGTATTTTTTATTCTCCGACCTTTCCACAGAGAGGAAACGGCAGTGAAGGTGGGCTGTAGGATCAATAAGTTTCACACCATGCCTTGTACATTTCCATTTCGACCACCGCACACACGGCATGCGAAGGTCTTCAACGAGCAGCCAACTGACAAAGTGGCTGTACATTTTCCCTAATACACGCCTGCAAGTAATGCTATAATATTCTTGGTTCTTTCGGTAAAGTCACGTAGAAGGGACACAATAAAATAATAGGTGTTTTACCCTTTGTGACTTTACCGAAAGAACCAAGAATATGAATCCCTGCAGTCACGAAAGCTTTAAATCAATTTTTTATGTTAAAACGTTTCCAGGCGCACGAGCAGTGGCGTCAGGATGTCTCAACGCTATCGCCAAGCCCCAGACCTGGCTTTCGATAAGTCCAAATTTGTTGTTCCATGACGGCGCATGAATTGTCAACACGGCAGAAAGTTAAACGTGGCGACTTTGCAATCGCACGCGGTGCATCTCGAGGCGAGACGGCAACGCGCGCGCGCGCGCGTGCCACTTTTCGACGGAAACATTTTGATGGGTGAAATTGTTTTTTTTTAGAATAGGTGTTTTACCCTTCGTGGCAATAAAACACGTGTCAAGATGTTCGAACGCCAAACAGATGCTCGGACAGTGCATTGCCTTTGTCCTGTTCGCCTTTTGGCGTTGTTTGGTCTGACATTGGTGAGACTAGGCCATAAATAAAGACGGCTGTCTCAGGTGCAGGCCAATCGGTTTCAAAGGCAATTGCATATATTATCAGAGCGTGTTTGTTTGCATGTTCACCACAAGTAGTATTCCATCTCTCCCTAATCCCCCATTAACACAACTGAGGTGCTTGCTTCCGGTGGTCGAATTCCTTTCCAGCTCAGACCCCGCTTGCTTGCCCATCGCCACGTCTAACAGGTCCCTGCAGGGTGGGCTGGTAGGAACATTGGAACTTTGCGCAATTTTATGACATTGTTACTTCCAAATGTTGGGTGCAATAAAACATATCAAGTCTCTGCGCTGTCTATTGCTGATTTTACACTCAACAGCACGAGATTTCACTTCGTTAAAGTATTGAAAGGGGACGGACGGACGGACACATTAATATATTGCAGGCTGGTACACTCAGTTTACAACTTCGTTCCTACCAGTATAACCTCCTTGTTGTAGCTGCTCTCTCGCTGGTTCAGCTGTTACACTGCTGGATTATGTTTTCCCGCCCGAGGACAACCGCTTGTTGTGTTGCGATCGAAACGTCGTGATTTATTTTATTTTATACCTACGTGACTTTACCGAAAGGACCAAAGAGTAAGTAGTAATATGTGGTTAATGCGGACTTAATTCCTTGCAAAATGTATCTATTTGGGGTTTGAACATCTTATTATTCTTGGTTCTTTCGGAAAAGTCACGTAGAAGGGAAACTTTACCGAAAGAACCAAGAATATGAATCCCTGCAGTCACGAAAGCTTTAAATAAAAACTGTTTTATTGCCAAAAAGGGTAAAGCCTCTTCTTAATTTGCATACTTTGAGACTGGCTAAAAGGTCCCATTACATTCTGCCGTGTGACCTTAGAGCTGCCTAACAAGGCACACGGTGACCCCCGCCAGGCAAAGCATTGTGGGCTGCTTGAACGCCGTCCTGGTTATAGCCAGCGCCTGCGTTCGGCACCTCCGGTTAGCACGCTTGGCGACGCACAGCGCGAAAGAAGTTCAACATACGCGCATACAGGCAGAAGGGGCCCAGAAAGTTATTTCACAAATCGTTTTGGCAAACCACAACCATCTTGTCATAGTCGTCCTCGTGGTACTTATTTTGTCCCCATACGTTCATAAGAATGCAGTTTACAATAACATGGGCGGTTTCCCCCCCCCCCCCACCCCCCCCCCCATGGAATCGCTGTACATTGTACTCGAGCGATGGTGCCTCACGCCGATGATCCCTGCCCCGAAGCCGGCCTGGCGTCGAGTGAGAAATGAGGCCCCGGATACATACAACCCGTGCCTCTTGTCGTCTGTCAAGCGACTCACGGCACCGTCGCTCATAAATAAACGAACTTCGTGACGCGTCCACAACGTTGGATAGAAATTGTCAAAGGCGTTCGGCGTTTGCGCGTTTCTCTCTCGCACACCTCGTGGCTTTGCTGCGCCGGGTGGCCATCACGATTGCACACCCCGCTTAGGGGACGTCCATAAATGACGTCACAAAAAGTCAGACCCCCCCCCTCAAATATGACGTCACAAAGCTCTGCCCCCCCCCCCAAAAAAACATTTCCATTTTGAAAATAAAACATGCTTCAAATCGCTTTAAACTATTGTCATTGTAGCGTGTATTTAATGTGGCGCTACACTCTGATCTTGTAGGAGTGTTGTTATAACAAATAGTGTTGTTATAACAATTCTATACAGTATTTATTTAAAGTTGCGCATTCTGATGTGACGTCACATTTCTCAACCCCCCCCCCCCTCGTCACACATCGTCACAAATGTCTGACCCCCCCCCAGGTGCGTGACGTCATTTATGGACGGCCCCTTATGAGGCCGAGCTTGTGTGTGGTATTGCTGTAAGTTTTCATGAGACCTCAGCTTAAACTGAACTATTTTTTTATTTTACCAGGTACCGCCCACTGAGTCGCATAGCTCTTGTTCAGAAGCGACCTGGCTCTCGCAAATGATAGCTCAATGAAGTGGCTCATCATCGTGTGGAAATTTATCGCAGCCAAATACTGTGAACGCACGTTTACACGGACGTATATTGAACCTCTTTCGCACAGACACGTAGCCAACCGTGCTAACCGGAGGTGCTGGAACCGTAAATAAAATGTACGCATAAAATTTCGATTTAAAGCTTTCGTGACTGCAATGATTCATCTTCTTTGGTTCTTTCGGTAAAGTCACGTAGAATGAGAATAAAATAATAAATTGATAAAATAAAATAACATAACACAATAATATTCTCACGACGTTTCGGCCACAACACAAGCGGCCTTCATCAGGTGAAGGGACGAGACTGTCTGGTAGGAAGGGACGAGACTCTCCTACCAGACAGTCTCGTCCCTTCACCTGATGAAGGCCGCTTGTGTTGTGGCCGAAACGTCGTGAGAATATTATTGTGTTATTTTATTTTATCAATTTATTATTTTATTCTCATTCTACGTGACTTTACCGAAAGAACCAAAGAAGAAAAATGTGCGCAGTGAAAAACGACATAACGTGCATTCACTATAGGCATTTCGATTTTTTTTTCAACAAAATAATATAATTTAGAAGTTTAAACAGCCTAAGAAAAACTCAACAAAGGTAGACGTGAACAGAAACAAATGTTGATTTATGACGGACGTGTTAACGAATAATCTTAAATCGAATTAACGTACACATGGGAGTTACACCTGCAACCCTGTTATAAAACAGGTCCCTGCAGGGTGGGCTGGTAGGAACATTGGAATTTTGCGCAATTTTATTACACCCAACAGCACGAGATTTCACTTCGTTAAAGTATTGAAAGGGGACGGACGGACACATTAATCTATTGCAGGCTGGTACACTCAGTTTACAACTTCGTTCCTACCAGTATAAAATGTACTTACGTCTCGCGAACACACGCAAATAAATAACAGCTATTTAAAATTAATATGATCTGGTCTTTTTCCAAATCGTATTCCTGGTGGATTATTGGTTTGCGGACTATTAAACGTACACAAGCGTCCGGGCCACGACCTCTAAACCTGAGCCACACACACATCACGGCAGCAGATGCTCGATGATACACGAATGGAAAATGGAAAACTCCCCGTTAGTGCGTGACTGTGGTCATCAAGGCCAGAACCGCGGAGCGTTGTATCAGCACTCGATTCACAAACACGAAGCGGGAGGCATCGTCACAGCGATACACTCTGACACTCCTGATGCAACGATCCGGCTCGACCGCCTCCACGTTTAATTCGCAAATCGTTGCTCTTTAAACCTACATCAGCCATGCGAATGAAGAAGAAGAAGACTGTGCGTGAAGAGACGCGTTTGTAAACGCACAAATTAAACTGGCGGTTACGCCGATATGCACCAAACACTGCCACTGGGTGTGGCCAGTCACTTCGTCAGGGGCAGATAAGCGACGTTCGGATTTGCAACGTTTGAACTTACGGTTGACAGAACTTGACATGGGCATATAGGTGGGTTGGTTGTTGTTCGGTTTGTTCGATATCTCCGTGAAATCGTTCTCTTGACTTTCTTGGAGCAATACACCTGAAAACGTTGACACAAACCAATATTTACGTTCCAGCATCATCATCATCATCACCACCACCACCATTCAGCCACGGTCATTCCACTGCTGAATGAATGCTTCCTCAAGCCACCGCCATCTCTCGCAGTCCTGCTATACAAAGACACATCCAGCGTCTGTGGGAAATCCCCTCGGACGTGTTCCATCCTTTGGCTGACATTCCGTCCTCAGTCTCGACCACCGGCCGTGATTCTAGCCCTTTGCTGTACTACCTTGTCTCTGCTGCCAGCCAAATAGCCCCCCTCCCATCTCTCCCCCCCCCCCCCCCCCTCTCCAAATTGCCACCCCCACCCACCCTCCACTCGCAAACTCTGTGACAATCTGTGGGCAGCCATCCAAGCATGATGCAGGCTCAAGCCTGTTGAGCTCACCACGAGCGACATTAACAATACGGGACGAATTTAGAAATAGTTGTACGCTCCATCCGAGTTGGTCGCGATTTGCCAGCATTGAATTCGGCTGTGTTCACGAAGACGTTCACCAGATGACAAAGTTACCCGTGGGAATTTGAGGTCGGTGCATTTCCACTTTCTCTGGATCGCAGGTTTTCTTCTTTGCTTTGCAATAATCTGCGAAACGAATGCAAAAAGAACGCGTAAATAACGGAGAGGTAACGGCAATGAACGTAGTCGAGGCACTACCCCGACCCAATTGAGAATCAGAATATTGCATTCGTACTGGAGGAATCCGATGAGCTATAAAGCTATTTTTCACAGATGTCCAGTGGGGGCAACTGGGTCGGAACACACATTCTGTCGAGTTAATCTTGGCTCATGTTCAACCAATGATTTTGCCGATGTCGCCTACGTGCCTTCAACAACCACTTTGCTTCGTCGCTCTGCTTCTCGCTCCGCGCAATGCGGAATTTTGGAACTCACTGAGATCGTCACTTTTCTCAATACCCCACAACCTCGCTGAATTCATGAAACGTGTTAACTATCATGTGAATACGTTTCACATTTTGAGCCTTTTAGGGCCCGTGCTACGCAACCATAGGGGGAAAAAAACTCCCTCTGGAAATAAACCTGGTATTGACAGCACGCTAGAAAGCCAAGCAGGCTCAGCCTGGATAGGGATTTAATGAAATAACATCCTTGTGTAAGAGGTGTAAAGGCTTTTGGACTGTGCTACATGGTAGCCAGCAGTAAGATCATCCATAATACAGGTTGTTTTGGGGTTAGATCGCGTAGATATATAAATGTCGTTAAACCCGCCACCACTTGACACAGTTAATTAGTAAGGTTTGTCACGTAAACATAACATGCCAATTCGTTACTAGTACAGCACACCGGTGTGTTGGAGAGCAAAGCTTACAATCTGAGTACGACGTTTCGCCAGTATTGTGGCTTCGCTCTCCAACAAACCGGTGTGTTGTACTAGAAACGAATTGGCATGTTTTGTTTACGTGATAAACCTTACGAATTGGCTCTGTCGGGTGGTGGCAGGTTCAACAACACATTTATATATTTACGCGATCTAACCCAAAAAAACACCTGTATTATGGATGATATTGTTCGTGAAAGCCCTACTACGTGTTCAGCAGTAAGATCCATTGTTTTTATGTGTCTCTCTGTGCCCACATTCATGCTCCCTGACTTTCAGACATCACGTGCAAAGTGGCAGTGAGCACTACTGTGCGTGGTGCGGTGGCGAAGTGGTTGGCGCATTGCAGGATGAACCCGGTAACCTGAGTCCCATTCCTGGCCATGGTTTACTTCCCTAGCAAGTGACATTTTAACCGTTCCCGCCCGGCCGTCCTCCCCCACTTCACCAACCAGCGTTGCCCAAATTGGTGACGTATGGTCAAACAGCCACCACTATCTGCACAGCATGGGCTCGGCCATTATCCAACAGTAAGTGTACAAGCGGATATAGACGTGTGTCCTGTACAATGTCAGTAAATGGCCAGTTGGCTCAGTGGAAGACCAATAATTTTGCAAACAGAATGTCTGGGGAGTTCAAATCCTGTTTGGGGGTTGACTCAGAGTCCCATCATCCCTCTCGGTCAATCGATACACTGAGCATCACTTTGTGGGAAAGTCAACAGTGGTTGTGCTTTTGGATTGACTTGCCACCGCGAATCTCGTTCTAGCGGGGGCGTGGGGACATCGCTCTTTGAATTTTGACAAAAAGGGGGTGGGAGGGGCATGAAGCACATCTTGCCTTTGCACATCCATCTGTGCGTGTAGACGGTGATGATGATGCACAGGGTAATGACGACCAATACACCCGCCAAAATGGAAGGCACTAAGCATTGAACGAGGGGGCACCAGGGTTGTTTGGTCGGAGTGGTCAGTTGTGGCGAAGACGACGTGATATAAGATCCATCGAATTTTAAAATGTCTTCATTGGTTGGCATTCGTTCTGCAAGGATGAAACAGGAAACGTTATGACCCGGAATTGTACATAATGCGTGCATGTATAATTCTATTGCTGGTTTAACGTGGAGGATTTCGCGGCCAATACCGTTTAAGACCGGAACAGGAGGCGACAACCGGAGTCGTGGAGGATGTATCCACAACTCTGGCTGCCGCCTGACGAGGCTGTTATTACTGGTGTGCTCGACTTGTAACGAGTTGGCATGTTTTGTTTACGCGACAAACCTCACTAATTGGCCATGTCGTGTGGTGGCGGGTTGAACGACACATTCATACGGACGCGATCCAACCCAAAAACCTCCGTTATGGATGTATATTGCTTTAATGTACTATGCTTCGATATCAATGCGTCTCACATCCATCAACCTACATTGACGTGTGTGGTGAAGTATGGTGAAATTACCCCCCCCCCCCCCCCACGATCCACACAGCAGGGAGAGACCCTCGTCCAACAGTGACTTGACAATGGTTAAATACATGTATTGTACGGTTAAAATATATATATATAAATATATATCTAAATATATATTTTTTTACATATGTAGATAAATATGTAAACATATTTAAACATATTCTTGGTTCTTTCAGTAAAGTCACGTAGAAGGGAAACAATAAAATAATAAAAATATAAAAAAATTTATTGTTGTGGTTTTCACACCTGATGATGATTGCTTGTGTTGCAGTCGAAACGTCGTGAGAATTTTATTGTTTTATATTTGTATTATTTTATTGTTTCCCTTCTACGTGACTTTACCGAAAGAACCAAGAATATGAATCCCTGCAGTCACGAAAGCTTAAAATCAATATTTAAACATATCTTTCGGACTTATATTTCAACAGCTTTCAAAGTACCGAGTACTGAAAACCCGTAATTTTTTTTTATTTTGACTACTCCTCTTACTCTTTGCTCTGGTTACGGATACAATTCTGCAGAGAAGTGAGGAGGTTGTTTTTTTTTTGCTTTCACCTTTGTCGGAGTATAACCTCACTGAGCGCTCGTAAATCTGGCCGCCGTCGTACACGAAGCACGTGTACACTCCAAAGTCGTCCTTGTTGATGTTGTCTATTTGCAGCGAGAACACGCTATTTTCAAAGTCTTTCAGCGGCACTTCGATTCTCTCGCTGTACCTGTGCGCTTTGTAGAGGCTACTGTTGTACATGAATCGCTCAAAGTACAACTGGGATCTTTGTTTTTTGTCGCCATGCAAAAACCAAGAAACCCCTCGATTCTTCTGGGGTTTAATGTTGGACAAATCGCAAGGCAATGAAGCATGTTTGTTTTCACTGGCGCTCACGAAGATGTTATTTGAAGCCGTCCTTGTAGCGAATTCTGATCGCAACAGACAAGACATTTTCCATATTAGTGTCGTATTTAAAAGCATCAAAACATGTCATCTTGCAATTGACACCTTTGCCGCAAACAACCAACTTGAAGCTGTTTGCAACTGAACAATCGTAGGGGTGCCGTGGTGGCGAGGTGTCAACGACCTCGCCGAGTATACAAGAGGTCGTGGGTTCGATCCCGACTTTGACGCCTGCTGTATATTTGAAGTTTGCATGTTCTCCCCATGGTCACATGGATTTGTATCCGGGTCCTCCAGTTTTTTCCTCCAAATTTAGAAACATGCGTGTAGACTGTTTGGCTGCTATACATTTCCACACATCGTTGAGCTACCATTTGTGGCCAAGTCGCTTCTGAAAAAGAGCTACATTGCTCAGTGGGGCTTACCTGCAAATGATGACCCAACGAAGTGGCTCATCACGTGGAAATGTATAGCAGCCAAATACTCTAAACGCACGTTGATTGTAAATGTGGAGGGAAGATCGGAGGACCCGGAGAAAAATCCACGCGACCATGGGGAGAACATGCAAACTTCAAATATACAGGTGTTGGGGTCAGGATCGAACCCACGATCTCCTGTATACCAGGCGATGTAGTTAATATCTCGCTACCGTGGCGCCCAACCTCCGAATTCAAAGTCCAATGTGGTGCTCACCATCACACCACAGCGTATCGTGCTGTAGATTAATACATGTAGACAGTCTCTTGAGGGAATGGTTGTGTAATGATTCACACACTGCACTGTGAACCCGGGGACCTGAGTTCCATTCCTCGCCAGCTCCCAGGACGGAGAGTGAAACGTCGGACATCGTGGCTTACAGCACGTGGCACAGCCCGGACACGCATCAGAGAGCTATAGGGTACGGCTCCAAAAATAAACCCAGGAAGAAACTATAAACTATATTGCAGTTTGTCCCGCAATCATGTTCCTTTGTGCAAAGGTTTACGGCGATAGTGTCTCACCTTCGTCTGTGAAAAGATGCGTCACGTAACTCCGCGTCGCTGAGTTTACCTTCACGTGACAGGTATAGTTCCCAGAATCTTCCCGCCTTACTTTGGAGATATTCAGAGAAAAGACGCCAAATTTGTAGCCTTCCTTCGATACGCTCGTTAGCCTGTTCTGGAAATATTGTTGCACGTGGAATTCAGACTTGCTTTGCTGCAATATTTGCACGTGTTTTTTTCGGACAGAATTCCTCGGAGCCCATATCCAGGTGACTTGAAACGCTTCGCTGCTGTTCCAGCTCATGTCGGTGATTTGGCAGCCCAGGGTGGCACTTGCGCCCACGTCTGCCAGCGTAACGCCAATGTAGCGTTGTCCCGTAGCGAGGCCTGGGAACACATGAAAGAACCTCTTGTCAACAATGTGGAATTCCTCGCCCACGCTCTTTTCGTCAAAGACATGTCAGGACTTGCAATGTATCACTTTATTTGTTGTGATTGGGCTTTTCCGTGTGTGTGTGTGAAGTATGCGACTTACACAATAACAGGGAGTCAACGATGCATCTATTTAATGAAGGTTAACACATTAATTGGCCAATAACATCTTAATATATTTCGATTTAAAGCTTTCGTGACTGCAAGAATTCATCTTCTTTGGTTCTTTCGGTAAAGTCACGTAGAATGAGAATAAAATAATAAATTGATAAAATAAAATAACACAATAATATTCTCACGACGTTTCGGCCACAACACAAGTGGCCTTCATCGAGACGTCTCGTCCCTTCACCTGATGAAGGCCGCTTGTGTTGTGGCCGAAACGTCGTGAGAATATTATTGTGTTATTTTATTTTATCAATTTATTATTTTGTTCTCATTCTACGTGACTTTACCGAAAGAACCAAAGAAAAATTTTATTGTTTTATTTTATTATTTTATTCTCATTCTACGTGACTTTACCGAAAGAACCAAAGAAGATCTTAATATATATTGAGGACCGCAGAGCTTTGGCAATTGCTGGCGCTGGCTCATCGAATAGTTCATAATATTGATTTTTTGTTGTTGTGTATAGTTGCATTTCTGATTGTCTCCGGTTCCCCCTCGCGACGCCGAGTCGTCCTCTCTCTCTCTACGAGAGAATGAGCGAATAGCGCGGCACGTTACAAGTGACAAATTTGCGTTCTCGTTTTTTTTGGTAGTAATTGATGTATTACATTCACGTGTATATATATATATATTTAAGGGTAATGGCGCAGCGCTGTCATTGCTCGCTCATTCCAACTGCTGCCGGAAAGGCCTCCGCAAGTAGACAGCTCCAGAGAGGCCCTCGAGAGGGTTTGAGGGTCGTCGTTCTCTTCCACGCTGGCTGCTCCGGCTTGGAAGAGTTGGAAGCGCCCACACTTTACCCCAGCACGTGCTAGCTGTCGACCGACGAATGCTCGATGGACAGAAGCAGTTGGGGGCAGGCGGTGGTGGTGGTGGTGGTGGGCGGGGGGGTTAAGAGATGTTCCGTGTTGTTTCAGCTGTCTTGATGGGAGTTTGAAACAACAAGCTCTGTCTCTATGGGACCTTTTTTTTTGTCAGTATCAAAATGTTGAAAAATTAAATGTAGGCTTCGCCCTTTCTGGCAATGAAATAGGATGGTGTTGAGATATTCAAACACTAAATATATACCTATTGTAAGGTGTCAAGTCCGCATTAACACCACATTATTGTGGCGAAACATGCAAACAAATATGCTCTGATAGAGACAGCCTTCTTTATGGCCGTGTCTCACCAAGGCGAACAGTAGAAAGACAGTGCAAGTATCAAAGCATGAACAGCTCGAGTTAAGCAGTTATATATCTAGGGGACCTTTTTGCCAGTATCAGCGACCTCTGGATCGCAAGTCCAGTGAGCGAACAATTAATTGTCAAAACTTATTATTACCAGACTGTTTAAAAAAAAAATGACACTTGCAGGATTTAAATTTTGGCACTGTGATTTTGTGGGTTTTTAAATTATGCAATTTACATAATAGCAGAGAATCAATTATGTAAGTATTTAGTATGTACTATACAATATAATTATTATGGCGATTGTGTTACTGTTTATGATATAAGAATGTATAATGGAGAACGTACGTACGTTCATACAATGTAATAAAGGGTGTTCATAAACATTGCATAGACAATAATTTTGTTATTTTCATTGAACCTATGAACGTGACTTTACCGAAAGGCTCAAAGAATATGACAATTAAAGGCTTTATAATTATCGCGAAGGTTGAGCAAGGTGGACAAAACTACACACGCACGTGTTGATAGTAGCGATTCAAGTCTGCAAAGAAAACATGTTGATATTTATATTCTTGGTTCTTTCGGTAAAGTCACGTAGAAGGGAAACAATAAAATAATAAAAATATAAAACAATCAAAATCTCACGACGTTTCGACTGCAATCATCATCACCTAATGCCTGCTTGTGTTGCAGTCGAAACATCGTGATAATTTTTTTGTTTAATATTTTTATTATTTTATTGTTTCCCTTCTACGTGACTTTACCGAAAGAACCAAGAATATGAATCCCTGCAGTCACGAAAGCTTTAAATCAAAATGCTGATATTTTAAAAAAATTTCTTTGGCGTCATCACGTGTTTGCTCTACATTAGTTAACTCACACCCTTGGACCCCCTTGCAAACAAGATGTTCCATAGCTTAATCGTAATGTGTGCGTTTTTATGCAGATTCATTTATTATGGGTTTTGGGAGTGGGACTGTAAGCTGATACACATTTCTCAAAATCTTAACAGCGCCTTTGCTTGATTTTGATTAATGTAGTTATTTTGCTATGCATGTTTTATTGCATAAACAAATACATTTAGGGAACATTTCAATCTGTGTTTTCAATTATACCCATGCGTGCATTTTAATGTTCGGAGTGTTTTCATTACTCAAAGGAATGTTCTTACGGCCTATCTTAAATGCTCAGTCAAGCTTGCCTGAGTATCGAAACAAAGCGTAAACATGGATAGCAAATAATTGTTTTCTTCCCTGTAGCATCCTGAACTTAATTTCTCACTCAATATTTTCCGAAACGCAGCTATAGCGGCTGGCTTGAAGTAGGCCAATCTAGGCACAAAACACTACCATTGGAATAACGCGATAGTATTGAATCATAGACCCCCCCCCCCATTATCTTATGAACAAGCTTTGAAGGAAAAAATAAGGCACGGTTGGATGTGACGTGGCCAAAGTAATTATCCGAATAATCTTCCCGAACTGTTCTGGCTGAATATAAACACTGAGGTGTAGAGCTTAATCATACCAGCAACGTATAAAGTTAGCGAATGGTATTATACCGGGGTGTCCATAAATGTATTGCCTGTTATATTCTATCATTATATTTATCACTGTGTGTGAGCTCGGTCTGTAAAAGCACTCACACTTGATCGAGTGGTATGGTGTCGTGAAAGTCTCATTCCGTTGAGCGACAATCGTTGCACGGTTGGCTACGTACGGTGCGAAAGAAGTTCAACATACATACGTGTCGAGGTTTTAGAGAGACCCAAGCATCGCTAACACATCGGCTGTGTTGTTTTTTGAATGCTTCTGTTGTGTGACGTCGAAAATAGCTCAATATTTTTAAGTAGACACATTTCTTAAATACTTTGAGGAATTTGTTGCCCATATTTTAACAGCGCAGTTCAAACTGCTGTCAAATTACGATTCTTTAATAATGGATGACACCGCATGTAATATTTTAAAGTGGGTTCTCAGATGGAAGTTGTAAATGAAACATATCAATGATTTGATTAACTTTATAAGTGGGAGGTGAGTTTGCGAAATAGTAGCAAATAAAATTAATGCATTTTGTATGTTTGTTATAGAAAGCAAATAATAAAAAATAATTTCTCTCTATATATACAATAACACTTAAAATATACACATCTAATTAGCGATGTACATTGTTTCATATTTTGACGCAAAAAATAAAAGGTGCATTTCAGTTTAACATACTTCAAAATCGGTTCGTAACTACAGCCACCGTCTTCTTTGGTTCTTTCGGTAAAGTCACCACGTAGAATGAGAATAAAATAATAAATTGATAAAATAAAATAACACAATAAAATTCTCACGACTTTTCGGCCACAACACAAGCGGCCTTCATCAGGTGAAGGGACGAGACTGTCTGGAGGACAGCGCTGGAGCGAAAAAGCCACGCTCAGATCGCGACCTTTAAGCTGTGACTTTACCGAAAGAACCAAAGAAGATGAAGCCTTGCAGTCACGAAAGCTTTAAATCGAAATTTTACAGCCACCGTTTTCCCCTTGTTTTCCGCAAAACGTGCCACCACCAACACTTCCGCGCGTGCGCTCGCGTGTGTATATAAAAAAACAAGTTGTACAGATGCTTCCCTGCATGCACTGCACGAGCCGGAGCTGATTAGTAACGCGTCTAAAAATGCGCGTGACACACTCGCGCCACGGTGGAGATACGAGCGCGTCACTTGTGTCAAAAGTGTGTCACGAACGTGCCACGTGACACACTCGTGCCACGCTTTGCGCCACGGTGGTGAATCGGGAGCGAGGAAAACGTTGCTTGTCACCAACAACGACACGGACAGAAGCTTTGCTCCACATCTCATGCTCGGCATGGCGACGTTTCGCTGAACGTGCCACACGTTTCAGCGGCGCTAATACTCTGGGCGACAATTTTTCCTTTTTGTGTGTGTCTGTGTGTATTTATGAATTTCTTTTCCGCCTCGCCTGTTATTCGTTACGCGTTGCTCCCTCCCTCCACTGTATTCTGTGCGAGTTTTTTCGAAAGAAAAATGCAAAAATAAAATTATCGCAACATGTTTACTTAGTTATGATTTTCAACAACAACAGGGGGGACAGAAGCTGGAATACGCATTCTTAAAGTGACTGACGCACACGGGCAACATTTTTCATTCTTCTCCTACTGCATGCTGGGGAAACACACGAGCAATATGTTAAGCTGGAAGTTTTGTATTTATTGTCGGTAAAAAGAAAACACCCAAGAAATGTTACGGGCAAGGCAAATACAAGCAAAACTCCCTCTGTTTACACTCATAATAATTATTCATATTATTCCATTGACTTTATTGGCTTTATAGACCACTGTTATCCAGCAACAATTGTCTAGGCGATCAAATTATGGAGCGCTTTGAAACTTCTTATCAGCAGTCAGGCTTGTTGAAACAAAGGTCAACAAAATAGGGATGTTAAAATGCATTCATATTTAAGACACACAGCTCGCAATTCCACGAAAGCGCTGAACCGAGATAGACACGCGGCGTTCAGATGACACGTGCTTGCGTGACAATAGGAGGCCCTGGATGTCATCTTAGAGACAGGGGCGAAAGCACGAGGGAAAGGGAAGAGAGGTCGAAACAAAACCATGTTTGGCAGCTGGCTGAGACTTGTCCCAACCGGTGTCGCGTTCCAAGCAACGATAACGTTATACCGGCTGTACTGTGTATTGTATGTTTAGGCGAAGGGACTTCGTTGACTGGGGGGGGGGGGGGGGGGGGATTGTTTGTGGGGGAGTTGAGGTGAGGGGTGCAGGAAATGGCCTCACGTTGATAAAGACCCCTCGATAACTTTAGTGCGGCTATATTTGCACTTGGCCACGACACACACGAGAAAAGCATTTTTGAATCGTTTCCATGATAAGTGCCTAATTCTTGGAAAGCTGGTTACTTGTTATCATCGTCACCATCATCAATTATTTTGTCATGCCGTGCCTCCCATCTCGATGTGCCAGAACAAAAGGGGGGGGGGGTGGGTATTTGCCACAATTACGATTTCAGACCAAAGACAACGTTCAAACACAGCACGGAGACAAAAGATTCCTCCGAATAGCCGAGACAGACTGTTTGGGGCAAGTGCTCTTAGCGAGCAACCCCATGAAGGCCGGCACGGCACACGAAGTGGTGGGTGGCCAACAGCAAGCCCCACGGCGCACACACACACACGGCAGTCGAGAATAAACTAAAATCGAAAATCTAAAGAGACCCCATTCTCTCTTTTATTTTGTCCACTTTCTTAAGTTGTAACTTAAACCTTATAATTCCTTGAATGAGCGGTAATTGGTAATTGTTTAATGGTGACGTCTTACATTCGCAAGCTTGACAGGATTAACCTGCGGTAAAAGTTAAGGCCACTTAAGTAAGTCAATTTATAAATACCACAACTCTTATAGCCGAGGTTATTACCGGTGCGTGCAATAATGCGTAGGCAGTTAAAGTCACTGTCTGATTGGTGGTCATTTATGTAATGTTAGCTTTAAGATCCAATTGCTAGGTTTTATTACAAATTTAAGTCACCAATTAGAAGGGACCAGTACGGACTCAGCATGGTGATGTACGGTCAAACATAACCTCCATATCAAACACGGAACGTGGAAGCCTTAATCGTGCAGTGGAGAATCAAAACGGGCAGTACGATGCGTACCGTGTCACTTTCTAACAGCAGCGCAGCATTCATTCCGCGGCGCCATCTGACTTATTTTTCGTCAGCAATATATTTTAAGGGGAGACGTTTGGCTGACTAAATGCCATTAGAAACAACTTACCCGTTAGAAGTGTTGCTTGCAGTATGAAGGCGATTGTGAAGTCCATAACAGATCCAGAGCACGTATGCATGTAACAGCGTTGAACTTCTTTCGTGCCGTACGTGAAAAAACCGTTTTGAACAACCTTTCGCTTGAGACTCGGCACCACAGTCTACCTCCGAGGCTGTGTGCTGTCCGAACGACTTCCCGACAATAAAGTGCCGATCCCTAACTTTCGAACCGAAGTTCTCGGCTTGCTCAGGCTCGTCACAAAATCCCAGAGAGATGCCTTGGTTGTGATACAGCACCACAAGCAACGCATGGAAAATTCTGTTTATATATTTTTTTTCTACTTCTTCTGTGTAATCAAGACTTTAAAAAAAACTGACGTAATCACCAGACCGCTTGCGCTGGACCGCAAACAGAAGTCAGCTTCTCCAGCGTGGGTATTTTTATGCCAATGGCTGGGTTTTTTTAATATAATGCTCTCCGTAAGATAGCATTACGTGTTGGGCTAACCAAGATTATTAATGACGTTAAACGCAGTTCGATATGGGCCCTGAGTGATGCTCTTTAATGCCACAGTCCTACGGAATAATACTTCTTTATTTTTGCTAAAACAATGACTCGTGCATATTTCCTTCGCTGGGCTAATTTTAACATTTTTGCATCGTGACTCTTTAAATTAATTTAAAAAATCACCAATGTCATCATCAGCCATGGTCGTTCCGCTGCTGGATGACTACCTTCCCAGGCGACTGCCACCTCTCATGATCCTGTGATGTAATTATCTACAGCATTTAAACTAATTAATTTCACTGTTCCATCTCCTCAATTAACGTACTCTCTCCGACACGGCCCACTTGATCAAATAAAAGCAATTTAGAACGTGCGCATATTTCGTAAATTGGATGCAATATTCGATTGATAATTTAGAGGCACAGAGCCAAAGTTTAAAGTCCTTCACATGCTAACCTGAACAAGTAAGAGTCTGAAGGGGTGAGAGTTTGAAGAAGTGAGTGGCTTGATAGGTGGGAGTCTGAACAGGTGAGAGTCAGGAACAGGTAAGAATTTTGAACTTCTACTTGCAGGTGGATGGTGATCGGATCATATTGCGTGTGTGCAGTGGTAGAGAAGAGTTGCAGATGAACGGTGCAGCTATGGAAAAAAGAAACTTCGCTGAGCCAAGACAGCCCTGGTTCTGGGTGCAATGGGCAGATTCATAGATTTACTCCATCGGGTACGGTGGTTATCATCGTCATCAACATCATCAGTCACTTGTATGTATGTATGTTGAACCCAGGACCTCAGTTGTACTACTCAGTGGCCCTGACCCTCTGTGCCACCCGGCTACCATTATATATATGTTGAACTTCTTTCGCACCGTACGTAGCCAACCGCGCTAATCGGAGGTGCGGGGTGGGGGAAGGACAACAAACTAAACGCAAAACCCAGTTCTACAGAAATTAGTTTTCCAATCTCGCGTCGCGCGGGGCCCGCGATCCTATCCCGATCGGGGCGCCGTGACCCTGAACACATTCCTAGACCGCAGTGTTTGACGTCGGCCTCCACGGTTCGCGTGCCGCGTCAACTGTGAAATCCACCCCGAGGTCGACTCCAGTCCCGCGGTGGCACCACCACCACCAACCACCACCACCACCACCACCAACCACCACCACCACCAACCACCACCACCACCACCACCACCAACCACTACCACCAACCACCACCACCAACCACCACCAACCACCACCACCAACCACCACCACCAACCACCACCAACCACCACCACCACCACCAACCACCACTACCACCAACCACCACGAACCACCACCACCAACCACCACCGCCCACCACCACCAACCACCACCACCAACCACCACCACCACCAACCACCACCAACAACCACCACCACCAACCACCACCACCACCACCAACCACCACCACCAACCACCACCAACAACCACCACCACCGCCAACCACCAACCACCACCACCAACCACCAGAAACCACCACCACCAACCACCACCAACTACCACCACCACCACCAACCACCACCAACAACCACCACCACCAACCACCACCACCAACCACCACCACCAACCACCACCAACAACCACCACCACCACCAACCACCAACCACCACCACCAACCACCACCAACCACCACCACCAACCACCAACCACCACCACCAACCACCACCACCAACCACCACCAACAACCACCACCAACCACCACCACCAACCACCACCACCACCAACCACCACCACCACCACCACCAACCACCACCACCACCAACCACCACCACCAACCACCACCAACCACCACCACCAACCACCACCAACCACCACCACCACCACCAACCACCACCACCAACCACCACCCACCACTAACCACCACTACCAACCACCACCAACCACCACCACCCACCACCAACCACCACCACCAACCACCACCAACCACCACCAACCACCACCACCAACCACCACCAACCACCACCGCCGTGGGTGATGGCGGAGCGCAGTGCGTCTCCGGTGCGATTGGATTAAGCTAGTGCGGGGCCTGTAACATATGTTATAAAGGGGCCCTAAATAAAAAAAAAACACACGTAAATATTAAAACACTATTTTTTTACTTGCATAGTAAAGTAATTGTATTTTTTTCATTTTCTATAAAGCCAGATAATAAGACAAATCGCTAACCTTAAACACCCATTCGTTCGTAAAAGTTTAAGGCGGTATAGTACACAAGTAATAGAGCAAGTGCAGAATCACTGAACCGGAATTGTGTAGTAGCTACTACACATGTATAGGAATAGGTTTTACCCTTTTAACTGGCACAAAAACTGACACCTTTATTCAAGGCATCATGTTTGCAATAACCACAACACAAGCAGTCAAAATGCAAACAAAAAAGACAATTCTGATAATAATATGCACTGTCCTTGCATTTTATTGGTCCACACCCGAGACAGCTTTTCTTAGAGCCTAGTCTCCATTGGTGTTGGACCAGAAGACGCCAAAAGGCGTCTATAATTTTAATGGTAGGTTTATTTGAACAGTGAAAGACAGAATAACAAAATCCAGAAAAACGCATGTCAAAAATGTTATAAATTGATTTGCATTTTAATGAGGGAAATAAGTATTTGACCCCCTCTCAATCAGAGCGATTTCTGGCTCCCAGGTGTCTTTTATACGGGTAACGAGCTGAGAGTAGGAGCACACTCATAATAGGAGTGCTTCTAATCTCAGCTTGTTACCTGTATAAAAGACACCTGTCCACAGAAGCAATCAATCAATCAGATTCCAAACTCTCCACCATGGCCAAGACCAAAGAGCTCTCCAAGGATGTAAGGGACAAGATTGTAGACCTACACAAGGCTGGAATGGGCTACAAGACCATTGCCAAGCAGCTTGGTGAGAAGGTGACAACAGTGGGTGCGATTATTCGCAAATGGAAGAAACACAAAAGAAGTGTCAATCTCCCTTGGCCTGGGGCTCCATGCAAGATCTCACCTCGTGGGGTTGCAATGATCATGAGAACGGTGAGGAATCAGCCCAGAACGACACGGCAGGATCTTGTCAATGATCTCAAGGCAGCTGGGACCATAGTCACCAATAAAACAATTGGTAACACACTACGCCGTGAAAGTCTGAAATCCTGCAGCGCCCGCAAGGTCCCCCTGCTCAAGAAAGCACATATACATGCCCGTCTGAAGTTTGCCAACGAACATTTGAATGATTCAGAGGACAACTGGGTGAAAGTGTTGTGGTCAGATGAGACCAAAATGGAGCTCTTTGGCATCAACTCAACTCGCCGTGTTTGGAGGAGGAATGCTGCCTATGACCCCAAGAACACCATCCCCACCGTCAAACATGGAGGTGGAAACATTATGCTTTGGGGGTGTTTTTCTGCTAAGGGGACAGGACAACTTCACCGCATCAAAGGGACGATGGACGGGGCCATGTACCGTCAAATCTTGGGTGAGAACCTCCTTTCCTCAGCTAGAGCATTGAAAATGGGTCGTGGATGGGTATTTCAGCATGACAATGACCCAAAACAGACGGCCAAGGCAACAAAGGAGTAGCTCAAGATGAAGCACATTAAGGTCCTGGAGTGGCCTAGCCAGTCTCCAGACCTTAATCCCATAGGAAATCTGTGGAGGGAGCTGAAGGTTCGAGTTGCCAAACGTCAGCCTCGAAACCTTAATGACTTAGAGAAGATCTGCAAAGAGGAGTGGGACAAAATCCCTCCTGAGATGTGTGCAAACCTGGTGGCCAACTACAAGAAACGTCTGACCTCTGTGATTGCCAACAAGGGTTTTGCCACCAAGTACTAAGTCATGTTTTGCAGAGGGGTCAAATATTTATTTCCCTCATTAAAATTCAAATCAATTTATAACATTTTTGACATGCGTTTTTCTGGATTTTGCTGTTGTTATTCTGTCTCTCACTGTTCAAATAAACCTACCATTAAAATTATAGACTGATAATTTCTTTGTCAGTGGGCAAACGTACAAAATCAGCAGCGGATCAAATACTTTTTCCCTCACTGCATGTAGTAGCATACTGTGTGTAATAGCTATGGGCCCCGCACTTTCAAGGGCCCCGAGCTAAAAATGCTTTCAAGCTATCAATTCCGGTTCAGTGATTCTGCACTTGCTCTATTACTACAGTACTATACCGCCTTCAACTGTTAGCGATTTGTCGTAGCTACTGCGCGTGTAGTAGCTACTGCATACGTAGTGGCTGAGCCACGCGCTCGCCGACCATGGCACGTGGTGTGTCAGTGGCGGACATGGTCCCCGCGTTTGTTGTTTTTTTCCTTCCTTCGTGCGGAGACATCGACATTGACCACGACTCGGGAACGGCAGCAGCGGCAGCAGCGGCGGCAGGACGAGGAAGAACGCGCGGGTCCTAGAGGCGGGAGCTTTGTTGGCGTTCTCACAGCAACGTTCTCGACTAATTGTCGTCATAGCAACGTTCTCGGCTAATCATCGTCATAGCAACGTACTCGACTAATTGTCGTCATAGCAACGTACTCAACTTATTGTCGTCATAGCAACGTTCTCGACTAATTGACGTCATAGCAACGTTCTCGACTAATTGTCGCCATAGCAACCTTCTCGACTAATTGTCGTCATAGCAACGTACTTGACTAATCGTCGTCATAGCAACGTTCTCGGCTAATCGTCGTCATAGCAATGTACTCGACTAATTGTCGTCATAGCAACGTTTTCAACTAATCGTCGTCAGAGCAACGTACTCGACTAATCGTCGTCATATAGACCGCCTTGTGGGAAGGATGTTGAAGCTGCATCGGCACTGAGAGAGCTTTTTGGGGGCCTCCCTAAAGATGAAATAATTTTAGTGAGTAATCTAAATTGGAATTGGCTAAACCCGCCGGCCGTGGCCACAAATTTTACAGATGAATTTAATCTGTTTCAATTAATAAATGTCCCCACAAGACCCA